AAAGTAGAAAATCACAGAACATGTTAATGATAAAGAAAGAGAAAAGATTTAAAATGTTTATAATGCAAATACTTAGCTCATATAGTACCACATCTTATTTACTAGATAGAAAATGATAGCTGTAAGCGTACTGGGAATCTAATAAAAAAGTAAGCAGTCAAGTGAGTAGACGTAGACTCTTTTAAAGAGACTTAATTAAATTTTAGATTTTCCCGTCGATTGATTGGACCGAAGTTGACATGTCGGCTTCTTGTGCAGATGCTTCGACGATGTCTGGGCATATAATTAGAATTGAACTGGTGGATGGGACTAGCAGTGGAATCCAGGACGTGCATTTCGTCCTATTTGGGACTCTTCAGGTGGATGTACCTGCATTTCCCAGTGAGTGATGATGTTCCCACGACGAAATGAGCATCCTGGATTCCACTGCTAGTCAGCATCCACCAATCAAATTCCTTTAAAGAAAGATGACAATCAACACTACTCCCGATGATGTGATCAGATAACGATTACCCAGGTAGATTAATAGTAATAATAAATTGTCTCTCTCCACACAGAGGGAGGAGGCGGGCTTAATCTCTCGGAAACTGTTACCTCAATGACAATGACCGTCATTTTTTTTCATTTCCCAAAAAAACTAATTTAACAAATAGATGTGATCGAGTTGTTCGAAATGAACTGCCCAAATACATCATATTTTTCTGATAAACTACATCTTCGAGTTTTTTTTTCTATTCCTTTGCATCCCAAGGGGACACAAATAGGGCTTCAAGCTCGAGCTTTGAAGTTTCAGTACTGAGCTGGTAGCCTCACGCCCAACTTAACCTCTTTACAGTGCTTACTACCTGATAAGTAAGGTTTAGCAGTGTATCGGCCGGGAATCGAACCCTAGGTAACTTATATGGTTGACGTGTATTCCATCACTGCTCCATCTAAATTTATTAAATAGGACTGAATGTTTTGAATTTACAGAACTTTCATTCCCACCCCTTGAAAAGCATTCAATATCAGTTTTTGAACTGTTTGATCATTTCCCATGATGTCAAAAATGAATATTGACGAAACTTTTCAGGCCGATGGTACAGTGTTCATAACGAAGTAATAGGACTGAATAAGTTTTGTACGCAATAATAACAATTAAATGCAACGGCAGAACATTCGCCAACCGCACACATTATCTGGGAGCGATTCCCGACCAACTCACGCCTAAACCTCACTTAGCAGGTTGTTAAACCGGAAATGAGGGAAGGTTGAAGATAAGATAAGAGCTTTATTCCAAATCAGTACTTGTGATACAGAATAGAACTCTCAGCATTTTTACTACAATATTGCATCCAGTTAGTACATTAACAATAAATAAAGTTCTACATAGATTAAAGTTATCTCAGTCAGTTTTGACAACAACATATTAGTATGTCGGTAGGAAAGCCAAAATTTAAACAGAGTGTTTGAAGGTGTTAGAAAAGTAGATACTACTAGCATATTTACTGGCGTAAGCGATAGCAAAATGGTCGAGATATACAGAGTGTGAAAGAAACGAACAAGAATGTTTTAAGTAGAGTTTGTAAGGAAGAGAGAAACAAAACAGCACATAACAAAAATAAATACAGAATGAAAAAAAAGGTAGAGAGAAAACGTTGTACCTGTAAATGATGTGAGTTGGAAAGACGAGATCTATTTGTTCTACTGACTATTTAATAAGTCATAAGTTTCACGCCTAATGCTTTCTTTATCGCACAGAACACGAGCTATCAACCCCATCCCTAAATCGAAACTCTAACACACTCTAACACCTTGAGCCGCAATCTACGAATGTTTGGCATGCGATTCGCTCCCGCCAAATGCAAGATGATGTTACAAGACTGGACTACATCGACGCCTAGTTTAAAAATAGGAAGTGAAGTGGTAGAGCACGTTGACCGCTTCACTTATTTGGGAAGTACCATCAGCCCCAACGGGCTGATCTCTGACGAAATCTCAGCAAGAATACAGGGGGCTCGTTTCGCATTTGCCAGTTTACGCCGACTCTGGCGTAGACGAGACGTTCGACTATCGACCAAAGGGCGGGTGTACTGCTCATCAGTCCGCTCCGTCCTCCTTTATGGTTGTGAGACCTGGCCACTGAGAGTGGAAGACATGAAAAGGCTAGCTAGCTGTCTTTGATCATAGGTTCCTGCGTTCTATTTCCCGTGTAAAGTGGCATAATAAGGTGAGCAACATGGAGGTTAGGCGTAGAGTTCTAGGTAAACAGGGGAAATCAATCGACGAAGTCGTGAAGCTACAAAGACTGAGATGGTTAGGACATGTGTTACGTATGCCAAGCCATCGCCTCCCTCGACGAGCAATGTTAGCGGATATAGGGTCAGGCTGGAAAAAAGCTAACGGCGGTCAAACAAAAACTTGGCATCAGTCAATGAAATCCACAACAGTTGGTCTAAGCCACGTAGGAAGGTGTAGACTTCCAGGCTGGGGTCCTCGGGACGGTAAAAATCTATGGTTGGAAACAATTGGTGACATGGCTCAAAATCGTTCTCAGTGGCGCAGATGCATCCACTCCTGTGACTTATGATCTTCAATGAAACTGTTTTGTATTTCTTTATTACTCCTTTGTCTCACACCTCTGCTCACTGTTTCTATTATGCTTTTCTTGTACTTCCTTCTCTTGCTTCGCGGGCTACACGGAATGTGGCGACTTGAACTTCCGCACATTTGTGCAAAGTTCTATGTCGAAAACAGACAGACAGACTAACACTACTGCAACTACAGTGTTCCACTCGGAACGCAAACAAAAAAGGAGGAAACGACAAATTGAGCAGAATAAAGATATTTACAGTCACTAAACTGTCAGAGCTAACATATAACTACACCTAATTCTGCTTAGCTCTAATGAAACTTTAATGTTCTGTCAACATGTTGTACAACCAGCGTGCTGCTTAGTATAAAAATCAAATTAATTTAAAAAACCTTGAAAGTTTCATCACCAATCAACCAATTACAATTGTTAGCCAAATATGGGACAGGGGTTACAGTATATGCCTTGAATTTAAGCACTGACATGGACAAATTCTTTCCATGTAACTTCTTGTATATTCATTTACACAGTATTGATAACCTCTATCGCTTCAACCTAATTAATTTAAGTATGTATTCTCTGAACTCACATTAAACTTGTTTTCGATTGTATGAAGTCGAGAAGAACCAACTAAATAAAAATGACATCATACTACCCTGTTTAATCTGCTGTTCTTGCTTTGTGAAGCCATGGCTCATTGATTTGGGAACTCGATTTTCAACCAGTGGGTCAATGGTTCGAATCTCGCTTCACCTACCGAGGTTTGAGAAGCCAGGTATTGTCACCAGAACTCACACAATATGCGTAGTTTGTCGTCAACTACAACACAGTATTGCAAGTGGTTGTTGAGTAACGTCTTTCTATCTATTTTACTTTGTTCAAGCCTAATTATGTAATATGATATTAGGCAACACATCCGTGGTATAACGATATAACATAATGAAACTTATTAACAATGTACATCATTCTATCAGTACATCAGTAAACGGAGCAGTATAACTGCTTATCGTCCACTGATCAAAAGTCTGAACTACAGACTGTCAAGCTCTATCATTTAGACCAATGGATAGTAGTAACTTATGCTATTATTGTGACAAGAAAGTATTAAACAAGACTAACTATCTGTCATTCTATCTTTTGTATCACAATCAAAATACAGTTCCTAATATAGTTTTATTTTTGTGTTGTTCAGGGATATTTCCTCTATTGCTTTGTGTGGATAACAAGGATCCAAGATTGAATATTCAAGCCACAATAGTGATGGTGTTGTCTTTACGGGATGTAGCTGCAAGCTTCACGCCCAATCTTCCTCTCTTTCTAGGTTTTAAGAATGCATCAGCCATCAGTCGAGCCCGGATCACTTGTATGGCTTGTGGGTAATCTACCATTGACGTGCAGAGGTATGTACCATGATAATATTTATGAATTTATTACTGTAATCTTTGAAGAGAAAAACTGTTGGAAACAACAATAAATCACTCAAATATTTCCTATCGTAAATAATCTAAAAAGTCAGTATCTAAAGTATTACAGACCTGATTGATTGATTTTTCAATGGGTGAATGGAACTTAACTTCTCAAAACGGTTTAGAGCCACATCACTAATAATCTCAAGCCAGTGGTTGTTAGCATCTTGAAGACCCCAACCAGGAAGTTTACACATCTTTATGTGGCTGATTCAAAACAACAGCTAAAAAGACTTCATGGGTTAACACAACATTTCGCTTTGTCCACCCCTAATCTTTTTCAGTCTAATCCAATGACAGCTAACGTTGCTAGGCGAGGAAAGCGGTGGCTTGGAATGCATAACACATCTCAATCGATTGACTAATAAATATCTGTGACCAAAGACAGCCAGGCTGAGCAGGTCTTAGATGTTTAGCTAATCATGTCTTAGATCCATAAGGAAGGACACAGCGAGCTGGTGTGCAGTGCACACATCCTTTGATTGATTGGTTGACTGCTAACAAAAAACACCCATCATGGAATTGGAACTATCTACACAAAAGTCAGTATGAAATGAGATCCAATTTGTTAGGAAATAGGAATTGCAGCAAACTACACGAGTAACTAAAATTCCTGATTTCATGTCTTAAAAAAGAAGCCAAACATTACTATATACTGTAACAGACTGCTTGTATAAAAATGGACAAGACGCATAGCTTGCCAGTATCCCAGAGAGTGAGGGTTCTCTAATTTGATCAAGGCTAAAGATTCTTGAAAAGTCACTCAATATATCATGAGAAACAACACTGTTAAAGACCAGTAATGTAAAAAACAAAATACTGACTGAGAAAGAAGACCTTTCTTTTTTAACTTTAAATATTTTTATTTAAGTTTACAATGTGTGACAAGGATCAATCTGATTAAAACTTGGAAAAGGGATTTAATTTATTTTTTTTAAAAAAAAGGCAATACAACTAGTCGATTAACTTGTATACACAAAATCAGATAAATGCTTTAAAATATTTCTTGCTTCATTGAATTGTACAGATTTATTTGGACCTTTCGGTGGCCAAACAGATTTTAAACGATTCACTACCGACGACATATCGCGTAAACACCTGCTGACTTCATCATCAACATTATGAGTACTATCAAGAAAAGAATCAGGAGACATCTGAGTGTTCGAGTATGATGTAGGCAGCATGGATTTTGATAGACCAACTGAATCCAGTTTCTGTGTGAAAGAAAGAAGAAGGAAAAAGATAAGAAGAAATGCAATCGCTCATAAATGAACACTCTAATATTCCGATGAAATAAAAAAAATGGAAGAACTTTGCAGAAAAGTGCAGAAAATACACTCAAAATACCAGGAAATAAATATACTGTGACTTACTTAATATGAGTGGGTACTGGAGAGAGACTAAATAAATCACCATTGGTCAAAAAATTCAGGATTTCGCGTAGAATAAGAAAGTCAAAAACAACTACCATCCTTTCAAGGACGTTCAACAACAATTGGTCTATAACAACACGAGCACATCACCGACTCAAGCTCCATACTTGCATCAAACAAAAAGCCAATGACTACACACAAGAATACCACATTTTAAACTAACACCTTCCAACTCCGTTTAAAACACATGCAACTTCATCTCATCAGACTTCTTCATGAAGGGGAAAATTCAACACGACAACATAATCTCGCCAAAAATGACTAAGCACACCCAAAAGGGTAAAAAGACTGTGTCCTCCTATTGAAGTACTGTCATATATCCATGAGAACATAGTCTCTGAAAAATAAATCCTATTCATTGCATTCACACGGCACTGTTCCTCAAAATAAAACTGAAGGTCCAATTCCAATGTCTCCTTCTTGAAACTACTATTGTTATCATTATTGGTATTATTATTATTATTATAACGAAAAGCAAGAACTTGGTACATTATGAGCACCAAGAGATGCATCAAACAAAAATAATAAAACAATGCATATATGAGAAAAATAGGGATAGAATAAATGACGGAAGTCACCTAGAAAGCCAGGAAGCATAGTTATCAAGATCGTCCAACACTGATCACTTCATGCCACTTTCAGAAAGGGAAGAAAGAAGGAGATTGCGGCATGTTCAACTTTGAATTCGGTCCTTGGTCATATCAGAAAACTTCTCGAGGCACTGATTCAGATTACCTTTCAGAGCCCGCCCATGGAGTCATGATTTACCAATAAATGCTAATCTAACACAAGTACCCTTCATTCTATACCACGACATCATAGGCTAACCACATGCTCTACCATTTCACTCCCTATTTCTAGGCTGGGAGTTGATGTAGTCCAGTCCTGTAGCATTATCTTACATTTGACAGGAGTGAATCGCATGACAAACGTTCAAAGATTGCCACTCTTGGTGTTCAGAAGACTCTGCATTTTGTCAGCGTCTTCAATAACGATAACAATAGTAGTGCCAGGGAGGAGACATTGAACTTTCAGTTTTATTTTGAGGAACACTGTCAGAGACTATGTTCTCACTGATATATGACAGTACTTATGTAGGAAGACACAGTCTGTTTACCTTCGGGTGTGTTAGAAAGGGTAATAATAACACCACATGTGAGGTAGTTTTCAAGATGTGATATTATAAAAACACAATGTTCTATAGTTTCTACGATGAGGTTAGAATTTCCTATGTGATGAAAAGTAGTAACTCTTGTGTAAGTATAGATTAAGCTAATTGACACTTCAATAATGGTCAATAGGAGTGGAATTTGAATCGATGACCTAGCACTTTACATTCGACTCTTATAATGAAGATGTGGTGAATGCTTACGCTTCACTTTTCTTACTACTTAGGCAGCTGGTTATATTTCCTGAATAATATAAAAAGATACTGTTTTGTTCATCAACACGAAATCAAGAGATGGATGTGTGGCTAACTGACTAAAAGAGTTTCAACACAGATGCGCAGCTGTCTAAGTTACCACACTCCAGGTATTGCACGATGATAGAGAAAAGAGGGGAAAAGGTGGTTGAAGAGGACTATAATGAGCAGAAATGTAAGGGAGAAAGAATAATAACATGAAGAAACATGAGAACTTGGTGGATACAATGTGACTACAAAGAGTGAATGCATCTACGCCATTGATAAAGATTTTGAACCACGTCACTAGCAGTCTGAAGGTATTAAGTATTTAGCGTCTTAATGACTTCAGCCAAGCCAATAAATACGCCCGCCCTACATGGCTCAGACTTACCAATTATCACAATGAAAATAGACAAACAGTAGGATAAAGGCAGAGAGCATACTGTTAGACAAAAAAAAAATGCATAGAACAAGTTACACCATTAAAAATACTGAAGAACAGAAAAATAAAGAACATTACCTTTTGAAGCGATTTTAAAAGATCCACAGTAAAACTATCCTGTCTGGCGCTTGATTCAAGTTGATCAATGTTTACTTTTAATTCTTGATACTTCACATGCATATTATGAGTAGAGAGAAGTTAACAGAAGAAATGACGAAAAGATATATATATATATATATATAATTTTATAAGACTACAATAAAATGTTTAAGTGAAGATAGTGAATTAAATAATATTTCTTCTTCCGAGTCACCTTTGACGCATGAATATTTCAATTCACAACCTAGGTGAAGCGTACTTGAAAAATACAAATAGAAGGTGGTTTGTGGTAAGAGCTGTCTGCTAGCCGAAATTGCAGACAACAATTTACGTTTATGTTCCGACTCGAATCGGGGTCATGAGAAAAAACCAACAGCAAAGCTTAGCCTTGAGGAACTCACCAACCACTCAAAACAGACTTAGCGTGTGCAAATACGATTCGGAGATATATGGTTTAACTTTCTGAGGAACGGTCACAAAGAGACAAAAGAATAACCCCTTCAGCAAGAAAACAACGAATCAGAAGACGTCGCCTCCCTGCTAACAATAACGCTAATAATAATGTACATAAAAATCTATAAATATCTCAATTTTCTCAATAAACGATCTATTGCCTGGTCCGTGTCTTCTATCGTTACACGATGACCAACAAAGGTTAGAGGACAGAACTATACCAAGGTATTTTATGCTTGACTTACTACCAATTTCAGTACCCTCTACACTACAAACATCTTGGGAACAGATAAGTTCCTGTAGATCACATTTATGACTGAAGGTGAAGTTAACTGTCCGACATGTTTTGTCCTATAAACAACAACATTTCATTTGAGTTTTTCTATCAAGCTGTAACGAAAGAAGACACGGGCTAGGCAACTGGTCGTTTATTGAGAAAATTGAGATATTTATAGATTTTTATGTACATTAGTATTAGCGTTATTGCTAGCAGGGAAGCAACGTCTTCTGATTCGTTGTTTTTTTGCTGAAGCTTGTTCTGTCATCTCTTCGTAGTCGTTTCTCAGAAAGTTAAACCATATATCTCCGAATCATATCCGCCCACGCTAAGTCTGCTGTGATTAGTTGTTAAGTTCCTCAGAGTTAGACAACTCTTTAGACTCATCAGGGAAACGGGAGGGAGAAGGCAAACCATAAGTGAGACTATTTCTGAGTAAAATGGCTCCTTAATTAGCTCTCAGGACAGACGCCTCGAACGCTGGAAAGAACACTTTGAGGAACAATTTAACCTGCCTACAGCCACACTGAACCTCTCCGCCATCAAATACACACACCCGAATGGGATATAGACACAGGCCCTCCTTCCCTAACTGAGGTTACTAAAGCTGTCACCAATCTGAAACTGGGCAAAGCAGCGGGACCTGATGGAATGACTCCAGAGGTATTTAAGTACGGTGGAGACAGTTTACTGTCTGCATTAACTGAAGTACTAGTCAGCATCTGGGAATCAGAAGAAGTCCCATCGGGTTGGTGTAAGTCACTGATTATCCCCATATACAAGAAGGGAGACAAGTCTTCCTGTGATAATCACAGAGGGATTAGCTTGACTAATATAGTATCTAAAGTCTTAGGCTCAATAATCATGCGTAGACTGAGTGATGCTCGGGAAGCACAAACACGAGAGAGCCAGGCAGGCTTTAGACCAGGAAGAGGGTGTATTGATCATATCTTCACCCTCCAACAGGTTCTAGAACATAGGCATTCATACCGGCGCCCAACAATCATTATATTCCTTGACCTAAAGGCAGCATTCGACTCTGTCGATCGAGAAGTTCTCTGGAGATGCTTGGCTGTAAAGGGAATTCCGAGAAAATATATTGCACTGATTAAGGCACTCTACTCGTACTCATACAGCCAGGTGAGGGCTTACGGTGAGCTGTCATCTGAACTGGTGACGACTAGTGGTGTCCGTCAAGGATGTCCATTATCTCCTTTTCTATTCAACTTCATCATAGATGTGTTAATGCACTTAACCCTAAGTGACTTCAGCGACTCAGGGATTGACTTGCTACCAGGGAATAATCTCGTTGACTTAGAATATGCAGACGATATAGTCCTTCTAGGAGCAGCAATCTACGAATGTTTGGCATGCGATTCGCTCCCACCAAATGTAAGATGATGTTACAAGACTGGAATGCAGCGACTCCTAGATTGGAAATAGGAAGTGAAGTGGTAGAGTACGTTGACCGCTTCACTTATTCGGGAAGTACCATCAGCCAGTGCCAACGGATTGGTCTCTGACGAAATCTCAGCACGGATACAGGGGGCTAGTTTCGCATTTGCCAGTTTACGCGGACTCCGGCGTAGACGAGATGTTCGACTATCGACCGAAGGGCGGGTGTACTGCTCATCAGTCCGCTCCATCCTCCTTTATGGCTAGCTGTGAGACCTGGTCATTAAGAGTGGAAGACATGAAAAGGCTAGCTAGCTGTCTTTGATCATAGGTTCCTGCGTTCTATCTCCCGTGTGAAGTGGCATAATAAGGGGAGCAATATTGAGGTGAGGCTTCGGTCGAGTGTTAGGTAAGGAGGGAAATCAATCGACGAAATTGTGAAGTTACAAAGACTGAGATGGTTAGGACATGTGTTACGTATGCCAAGCCATCGCCTGCCTCAACGAGCAGTGTGAGTGGATACAGGGTTAGGCTGGAAAAGAGCTAGTGGAGGTCAAACCAAAACATGTCACCAGTCAATGAAATCTACAACAGTTAAACTAAGCCACGTAGGAAGGTGTAGACTTCCTGACTGGTTGGGGTCCTCGGGACGGTAAAAATCAATGGTTGGAAACAATTGGTGATATGGCTCGAAATCGTTCTCAATGGCTAGCGCAGATGCATCCACTCCTTGTGACTTATGATTTCCAATGGAACTGTTTTGTTCTTCGTTACTACTGTTCCTTTGTCTCACACCTCTGTTAACTGTTTCTGTTATGCCTTTCTTGTACTTTCTTCTGTTGCTTTGTGTGCTACATGGTGTGGAGTGTGGCGAGTTGAACTGCTGCACATCGGTGCAAAGTTCTATGTCGAAAACAGACAGACAGGGTTAAGCTTTGCTGTTGTTTTTTCTCATGACCCCGATTCGAGACGGAACATAGACGTAAATTGTTGTCTACAACTTTGGCTATCAGACAGCTATCACCACAATCCTATATCTTGTTGACTTTTCAGAAAATGTTCCATCTAATCTACTCTAAATTAAGAAGCTAACACAATCAAGTATCACTCCACCTGTACTTATACAATTTTTAACTCTTGCATCTTTACCTTTTGTACTTTACTGCTCCCCTTTGTCTTTCTTGGGCTGTCCAAGGTGGTCAGTAGGGTATGTGGTGTGTTACTAGATCAGCTCGTTACTATTGTAGTCTTCAGACACCTGAACTAATGCAAGCAATGGGGTAAATCCATTTTTGTCCAGCTCTCAACAACTTTTCTGTTCACAACTCTACCCTTGCATCTCATAGGGTAGGAATAGAAGTCATTAAAAAAAATGAAAATATGCTCTCACAAAGTACAAAAACTCAACGATATTCTATTTGACCGTGTTCTACGTGATAGACAAAGTTTAAGGCGTGAAACCTATAACCTAATATGTAATTGACACAATAAATGGTTCCATAATGATATTAGATGGTTGGAGGCAATCGGCAGGAAGCCTTGGGTCTAGGCTTCGTGCTGGCTGGCACTTACCAGTCAGCAAGGCGTATCTAGTGTGCCTAGTGTCCAATCAAAGTATCCACTACAGTCCTACAGGAGGTCAATCGCGAGCCCGAATAGCTCAGTGGTAACGTCTATGACTGCAGCAATAAGTGACGCGGGCTCGAATCTCAAAAGAGACATGAGTTCCTCCAAGGTTGCAGGTACGCCTTGCTGACTGGTGAATGCCAACAAGCACGAAGCCTAGGTCAGGCGAGACTTCCTGCCGATTGCATCCAACCATATAATATCAATGGCGAGCCACCTAGTGGCATGGTGACCACACTACAAACCTGACTGATAGAAGTCAGTCTGCTCCAAAGAAAGGACTGGACACATCACACTAGTTACTAGTGTCCAATCAAAATAAATGGTTCTATGATCTTCTTCAAGGAGTAATTTATGGTGATATCATTTCAGTTATCTTATAGTTTTAGTTATTAATATTATTATTACCTTATATTTTTTGTGTATTTTTGAGTTTATTGTTCCTGTAAACGCCGAAAATGTTGCTGTTATCAATTATGTCCACCTATACCATGGAACATTTTTATTGTTGCTGTTGTTGTTGTTGTTGAATAAGTTAGGTGTAACACTGAAATCAAATACTGAGAATTGCATGATGTACCCAGAAGTATTGTCTTGGAATAAGGAATTGATTATTACCACCACTATTATTATCATTATCCAGCTAAGGAATGAATCTATTGAACAGTACTATTGGTATACAGAGGCAAACAAAACTACATAGGTAAGCTTTCCGTATTTTAGTCAATTCTAGGTTAGTAGAGGATGAAGTCTAAGATGCACATCTCATCCGATATCGGGACTCACCTCACCATCTGGATATGCATGCATCCATCGCAAGTGAGTGAATGAATATCTTTTCAAAGAAACCCAAACGCGCCACCCACTGTTTCAAATCTTATCATTTTAAAGATAGGTGCTAGTTCCATAACCTTAATGGGGATCCCACCACTCAATAGTAATGGATGTATGTATATCCAACTGACGAGTCGCAAATCGGACGAAGTGCGTGATCTGAGTTCTGTTAACAGTCTCTATCAACCAAATGACATCATGCTCACTAATATATACCAGCAGTCAGCATGTCAACAGAGATCGAGTATTTAGGCCAAATATAATATAAATAAATTCCTCAGCGAGATACTCGAGTTAACTTAAACAACAGATGGGTAGGCACATTATTCATACTACAAGCAAAGTTACATAGACTAAGATGGCTAGGTCACGTGCTGCGCATACCTGCCTAACCATCGCCTCCCCCGACGGGCATTACTAGCCGATATAGGTGCAGGTTGGAAAAGAGCCAGTGGTGGCCAAACAAAAACATGGCCTCATCAATCCATGAAATCCTTGACAGTTAAACTGAGTCGGTCAGGTAGGGAAATGCAGGCTTCCGGGTTGGGGCCCTCGGGACTGACTCTAGGAATCAATGGCTGGAGACAATAGGTGACATGGCTCAAAATCGTTGTCAATGGCCAGCGCAGATGTATTCAATCTCTGTAATCTTTCATATTCCTTTCTACCATTACCCATTCTGTTCCACTCTTATACTTGTCAGACTGTATTGATTCTCTTCACTCATCTTCTTGTCTACCTCTGTGTGCTATTTGGAACGTGGCAACTCGAACTGCTGCACTTCGGTGGCAAGTTCTATGTTGAATCCAGACAGACAAACAGTTTATTGAAAGAAGTATCAATTGCCTCATGCTGATTACTGTCCATGATTCGACTTAAAAATATAACGCAAACAAACACACACAAAAAAAACAAATATTTACCCATGGTTTAACATATCCTTGTGTTACTGGCAAACTGAACCATGAATTCCATGCATGAAGTATGGATAAAGAGCATAGCTGCTGAACAGAAGGCGTAGAATCCCAGTTAAAAGATAGCCTGACAAGATGCTATATATTTATGTATTATTGGGGAAGAAGAGAACACAACAAATGCACAGTAGAAATGTAATCATGATGAGTGATTGACACAAAGCAAGTATAATTAAAAAAAAACCTCTCGCATAACTTACATTCATTACTTCTGTATCATTACGAGAGTTAGGATCATTAAGAGAATTTAAGCATAACTTGGGAAACCAACTGGACAAGCAAACGAATAGTGTTGAAATCGGTTGTAGAGACCAGGATTTCAATGAAAGAGAATATGCAAATGGATAATTCGTCATCTCGAATGATGTACCGATTTGATGACATTTCAGCAGAAAAGCAATACACTTAACAGCTGTTCGTGAAATTGACCTTTTTTGCGAATCAGATAGACAGTCTATTAAACGAAGACCAAGACACTATAGAGATAAAAATAACAGAGATAGCACAGAATTATGAGTAATAATCATCAATAAACTGAACAAGTATTATACTAATGTATTATATTAATACAACACTCAAAAGTATTATTTTGTTTTTGATTATCAAGACTGAAAATCTTTTTTATACAATTGTAAATTACCAAGTATTGGTTTTGTAAGGAAGTTTTTTGATTGGCTGGAGGATTTCATCATGAGCTAACATCACTTCGTGAACATATTCGGAAAACCTAGGAGTACTGGACAGCCAGCTGCTTCGTCAGCCTAGTTTGAGACTCTTCATCAGTACGCAGCCGCCGCCAGGGTTCGAACCCAGAATCTTCTCGTTAGAAGGCTAGCGAGCTCGTAGACAATTAAGCCATTGCGACCCGATTCAATGGCGAGCCCATAATTTCAACTTCTGCCAAATTATGACATAGCGTCATCATCTGCAGTGTCTTTTTCGATGAGTTACTGTCTCAACTTCAACCCTGCTGGTAACGGCTCTTCACTAGAACCCCGGGTTAACTGTCTGAAAAGGCCCAGTCGCCAGTGAGTAACAGATTAATTTTCAAGTGTTGGTAAATTAAAATGGAGATGTATCTCAATGATCTGGTCACCCGACTTCCAAACACTATGTTCAGATCCTGTTCCCCAAAGCGACGTATGGAAAGCTAGGTAGTATAAATAGATTTCTCACTGTCTGTCTGTCAGTTTCGACATAGAACTTTTCACCGATGTGCAGCAGTTCAAGTTGCCACACTCCATGTAGCACACAAAGAAAGAGAAGAAATGGTTTGACCGCCACTACCTCATCTCCAGCCTGACCCTATGTCAGCTAGCATTGCCCGTCGAGGAAGGCGATGGCTAGGCGTGCATGCGTAACACGTGTCCTAACCACCTCAGTCGATGTAGCTTCACAGCCTTCTCGATTGATTTATCCTCCTTACCTAGCACTCGATGGCTAACCTCAATATTGCGCACCTTGTTATATCACTTCACACAGGATATAGAACTCAAGCACCTATGATCGAAGACAACTAGCCAGTCTTTTCATGTCTTCCACTCTCAATGGCCAGGTCTCACAGTCATAAAGGAGGACGAAGCGGACTGATGAGCAGTATACACGATCCCTTTGCCGACAGCCAGTCGGATATCACGTCTATGCGTAAACTGGCATATGCGAAACGAGCCTTCTGTATCCGTGTTGAGATTTCGTCAGCGATCAACCCGCTGGCGTTGGCTGATGTAACTTCACAAATAAGCGAAGCGGTCAACACGCTCTACCACTTCATTCCCTATTTCTAAACTAAAAGTCACTGTAGTCCAGTCCTGTAGCATTATCTTACATTACAGTACATTCGTAGATTATTGCTCAAGGTGTTCAGAAGACTCTGTATTTTGTCACTGTCTTCACCTAGAAGGAAGGACTATATCATCTGCATATTCTAATTCAACGAGATTATATCCTGGTAACAAGTCAATTCCTGAGTTGCTGAATTCACCTCATACACCTGTTGAATGTCGTCTATAAAGGTTTGGAGAACTCCGTATCGCTGGGACGATTTTCAAATTACTTCACAGTTGATACTATTGAAAGCCCTTTCAAGGGGGATGAAGTTGAGGTAAAGAGTTAACTGTTTCTTTATTCTTTAGAAATGCTTCTTTAGTAAACTACTTTTGTGAAATTCTTGTCTTCTCATAAGAAAACACTTTGTAGAGTGAATAATTACATAAACAAATTAATAGTAATCATGGTAAAAAAAAAGGGATACACAGAGTAATAGATTCAGAAAGTGATAATATTTAAACAAAATAATTAATCAACTTACTACTTCTGTCAATAAATTAGTAATCTGTAACGAATTAATAGTTGAAGCGTCATTTATGTCAATCAAATTGTTGTCTAAGTGAAAAAGACGTTCAGTCACTTGTTGTTGAATAATACTACATGATACTTTTTGTAAACGACTTATTGGAGTTGGTGTATAATACCAGACTAGTGAATTAGACAATGAACTTATTGGATCTGCAGTTGAATGAATATTGATGTATTTCAATGAGTTTTGATTAAGATATGCACTCTAGAAGAAGAAGAAAAGGAGGGAGAGAGTTATGTTAGATTTGCACTACATGAAGACTCCAGTAAACAATAAATAATGCCAATAATGGACAAAATAAAATAATGAAAAAAAGTTGGATAAAACTAAAATGTACCCATTATGCAGTTAGGAATTTTACTCACAGAATGGAAACATAAATAAATTACAGGATGAATGGAATTCTTGATTTTCCCGTCGATTGATTGGACCGAAGTGCTCGGTCTCAGGTTGACATGTCGGCTTCTTGTGCTGACGAGTCCCAATTAGGACGAAATGCGCATTTTGGATTCCACTGCTAGCCACCATCCACCAATTGTATACAAATTACAGGATGATCTGAAACAAATTTCCCATTTCGAACCCCATTTGATATTATATATTAGGCTACAAAAAAGGCCCCTTGAACAATAAATATCTAAGGAAACCGTCTTGAATTAAGAGATACTGAATGAAATAGGTAGGTGTTTTGACTACTTCAGCACTCCCAATGAATCGACTAATTGCTGACGAAATCCAAGCACAGATACAAAAGGTGCGTATGGCATTCACCAAATTCCGTTATTTCTGGCGTAAACGTGATATCCGACTAACGATCAAAAGGACGTGTAGTTCACTAGGCGTAGTGTTGTGTAAAGAGAGTAGTCCAATAGATTTGTTTATGAAGCTGCATCGATTGAGATGGCTATGACATGTGTGACGCAAGCCAGCTCATCGCTTGTTTCGTCTAGCAATGGTAGCTGAGGAAGGACTACGTTGAAAAAGAGCTATTTGTGATCAAATCAGAACTTGGCATCAATTTATGAAGTTTTTGATTGCTGGTTTTAGCCAGTCAAGCATGGAGGTGCAGATTGCCTGGATGGGGTCGTCGAAACGCCAATAAGTATTATTATTGTCTCCTTTAGTTCCTAGAGAAACATGGGGCTTCAGCCACACTTCTCCACTGCGTTCGGTTCCCTGTTAGCGTTTTCACCTCGCTCCACGTCCCCCCACATGCTTTCATCTCCTCATCACATGACCTACTCAATTTTACCCCACCCTCGCACTAACGACTACCACGCTGCGTTCTATTCGGGTCCCACTCGACCGATTGCCTGCCGTGTGATCTCACTTGATGATTTGTTTCCTCACAGTATGGCCAGTCCACATCCATTTCTTCCTGCCTAATTGTTGCAAAATCGGTTCCTGCTTGGTTGGTTCGCTCCAAGAGATCCCTGTTGCTGATGTTTTCTGGCCGGCCATCTGATCTTGAGTAGTACTGAGCGAAGACAGCTGTTAATAAAGGTCCTTGGTGACGCTGCGCCACGTCTCCGATTCTTACGTATAGTAAGTAGTAGTGAATTCACATTGGAGTTGAAAATTCGGATCACAAATAAGTTTTGGTTAGAGAATATTTGCGATACAGTTCACTGGCGCAGATGTATTCCCTCTCATAGATCAATTCAATTCTCCAGATAACTATTTTTTCTCCAACACAATTCAGTTTGAATTTCTTTTCTACATTTGTTTGTTTATGGTGTAGACACACGAAATGCTGCACTTTTGTGTTCAGTTCCACCTTCAATACTTATTCAGTCAGTTCCACATACTACTCCTATTTGTTCACTTAGCCCCAGGAATAACAGAAAATATGAAATTAGTTTCAATTTCAGCAGACTGGCAGTAAAGTACAACCAAAGTCCGATATCATCATTAACTCTGCGTCCATTCTTCATTCAAATGTTCAAGTACAATGTCCCATAGAGGGAACGTTTGTTCTTGACACAGAGTTAAATGTCTCCACTTATTCAGTGTCATTATTATTTACAACTCCTGTACTTTGAAATTTCTGTAGCGAACTTCCGGGCTTAAGACTGGTTAAATTAATCTGTTGAAGTGATGAACTTGAGAAAGGCAGATGAGGTAAGCAGTTAAGCGATATGGTGATCAAAATCAGTCTGGAAATAAACCATATATGGTTATCTTCCCTCAAACCTATGGTATCGCCCTTACATATATATATATATATATATATATATATATATATATATTATTGTTTCGTTTCGTGAATATACTGTTACTTTTCGTCTCGTCTTTTCTGTACCATCGCTTAATTAGTGGGCTGAAAGATCGGTTAGCTGTTGTATACACTGTGGGCATAAGTAAGCAATACTCACCACTACTGCACCTGTCATCAGCTCAACGTCCCTATTTGCATAACATGGTACTAATATAGGTCTTTAGGTGAACATGAAGAAGATAGATGTGTTAAATATGCCTAATCAACAACAGGGACAAGCATCAACAGTAGACATCTACAGAAAATCATCTCTTCCACTTTACTAGGCACTAAACAAACTAAACAAACAGTGCTAAACAAACTGGTTAGCACTCAGGAGGTGTGCAACATAGATGGTATTGAAATAGAAACCAAATCGGAAATTAAATACCTAGGCGTCATTCTATCTGCTGATCTTTCCTGGTCGTCTCATATCTTGATGATTTCTAAGAAAATATTCCGTCTTACCTTTTACATCAAGAAGTTAAGACATTCTGGTATAACTCAACCCTTACTCCTACAATTCGTTAACTCTCGCACTCTGCCTATTATTCTCTAGTGTTCTCCCTTAGGTTTTCCTGGGCTGGCTACCGAAGAAAGACTATACCTTATTACGCAGGATGTTAAACGTTGTCAGCAGGGTAAGCAACGTTCCACTTAACCAGCTTGTTAATATTCTGGTTGACTGGTACATGGACTCATATGAAAAATGGGCTAAATCCATTTTATTTAACTCACACCACCCTCTTCATTCACAACTCTCCCCTTGTATCAGAAAACTTGATATGATTATGAGCAATAGTTTGTGCTCGAAACGTCATCAGTTAATATAACTGTACAACACTGTGTGTGATTTATCAAAATAAAATCTTATCCATAATGGAGTTATACTCTACCACAGTGCCCAAGCTTTATACTTATATATAGAAAACTATATGCTCGCACTAGCAAGTACAAAAGCTCAACTATACCCTACTTAGCTCGTGTTCTGTGTGATAAAGAAAGCATAAGGCGTGAAACTTATAACTTATTAAATAGTCAGTAGAACAACTGGATCTCGTCTTTCCAACTCATACCATTTATAGGTGCAACGTTTTCTTTCTTTCTTCTCCTTCTCTCTTTTTTTGTTGTTATGTGCTGCTTTGTTTCTTTTTTCCTTACAAACTACATTAAAACATTCTTTGTTCTCTCACACTCTGTATATCTCGACCTTTTGTTACCGTTTACGCCAGTAAATATGCTAGCATCTCCTTTTTTAACACCTTCAAGCATTCTGTTCACTTTTGGCTTTGCTACCGACAAGTCAATATGTTATTGTCAAAACTGACTGAGATTACCCTTAATCTATGTAGAATTTTATTTATTGATAATGTACTAACCGGATGAAATGCTGCAGTAAAATGCTGAGAATTCCATTCTGTATCACAAGCACTGTTTTGGAATAAAGCAAATTATTATTATTATTACCGTTTTAACTACAGGCGGTAGGAATAAAGACACCAAATGACAGGATCGGAAAGGGAAGACAAACCATGATTACTCTGAAATCAGTGTGGAAATCTTCCGCATTCAGAGAAAAGAACAAGATCCGGATATTTAACACTTATGTCAAGTCAGTTCTTCTATACAGTTCAGAAAATTGGTGCGCGTGTCACTAGAAACATTTACAACAGGCTACAGCACACTTTCATCAACAGTTACCTTCATTCAGTAGTGACCCGGCAGATAACTGCTACCTTGTCGTGGTGGTCGGGCTTGAATACCGTAATGGCCCAACATGCTGAACTGACTGGGACTCTGTCTCTACAGGTCCTACCATGTCAGGGAGGTTTTCTGGATAGCGGTTAAACTAAAAGCAGTTACCATGGGGTACATGGGCTCCAGTTTCCAATCGGATCGAATGGCGTACGAACCCATATGGGTCACCGGCAACCATGGGAATGCAGCTCCTGACGCTGCTCCACTGCCTTGAGGATTAGACTCCAAGTCAAAGGCTCGGGGGGTGGTCCCCTAATAAAACCACCTGCTTCGGTCTGGGCGCCCGGGAAGTATCTCAGCCCGCACACAATGAATGAATGAATTAAAGCAACGAACTCTCACTGAAACTCAACGCGCGCTAGTAAAAATGATTCCAAGCAATAATGATCCCTCAAGCAACTCATCTCCTTCCTACCTTACTTTTATTTTTATACATAGTTTCTTGTATTTTACCTTTGCTAGCCTTGGCTTTTTAACCTTCGACAGCCTTTCGCCTTTGTCGAGATTACCAGCCTATCCTTGTCGTTTCGAGATGTTAGTGAGTAGTCCTCAAAATGGTTGTTCCCAATGTGACATCTAACACAGATATCCTAAAACCGCCTGCCGCGTTCAAGCTGGCTACCTACAATGTTCGGACGCTGATGCAAATCGGACAACAGGCAGGGTTGGCAAGAACTTTGGAAAGCCTCGCTATCGATGTCTGCTGCATTTCAGAGACCCGCATTCAAGATCCTAGTGAAGTGCTTCGACTATCCTCTCCATCTGGAAGTTCTAGTAGTATGTACCACCTGCGCTTATCTGGGGACCCTGTGGCGTCGGCATCCGGCGTAGCTGGTGTCAGTGTCGCACTGAGCGCTAGAGCCGAAGCTGCATTGCTCGACTGGATTCCCATTAACAGTCGTTTATGTGCTGTGAGGCTGGAAGGTTATACGAAAGTAAGGAGTAGTAGGCCAGATAGGCGGTGTCTATTTGTTGTCTATGCCTATGCACCGACGGATTTCAGCCCGGATGCAATGAAGGATGAGTTCTACTACCAACTGAGCGATCTCTTGAAACAGGCGGGTCGGAGGGATATCGTAGTGCTGGCTGGGGACTTGAATGCACAGGTGGGGCGTCTAAGCTCAGAGGAGAATCGTCTAGGTGGTCAGTGGGGACTACATGGTCGCAGGTCAGATAATGGGGACCGTCTTCTGCAGCTTTGCGCGGATCACAACCTATTTCTAGCCAGCACCAACTTCCGGCACAGCCATCGCCGTAGCGCTACCTGGCGGTCAGAACGTGCGTGTGAGATGGAGTCAGCTGCTGCATCTGGCAACAGTCGGAAGCTGTTCCAACTCATACGAGCCACCGGCAGCAAGAAACAAGGTGTCAGCGAGACGGTCTGTGAGGCAGATGGCACTCCAATTACCAGCCTGAAAAGACGCCTGGAACGCTGGGCAGAGCACTTCGGGAAGCAGTTCAGCTGGCCACCAGCTTCAGTGTCTACTATCATTAGCCCGAGTGCTCCTTGGTCGGTTAGTACCGACCCACCCACCGAAGCGGAGGTCCGTAAGGAACTCCAAGTTCTGAAACGCCATAAGGCGCCCGGCCCAGACAAATTACCCCCGGCTCTTTTTAAAGATGGTGGCGAGACTCTCACAATGGCTCTAACTGGGTTGTTCAGGAAGGTGTGGGAGACAGAGAGTGTACCATCAATGTGGAACGAAGCCATTATCGTCCCCATCTTTAAAAAGGGTCGACGTAATTCGTGTGACAATCATAGGGGTATCAGTCTGTTACCAGTCGCGTCTAAAATATTGGCTGCTGTCTTGCTTCGCAGACTGTGCAAAATACGTGAAGGATTGATTCGCGAAGAGCAGGCTGGGTTTCGTTCAGGTCGTGGATGCATTGATCATGTGTTCACCCTTCGTCAGTTGTTGGAACACCGCCACACGTATTGCAGGCCAACGATCGTTGTGTTTCTTGATATTAGGGCTGCCTTCGATTCGTTGGACAGAACTGTGCTCTGGAACTGTCTGTTAGAGAGAGGTGTACCTGAGAAATTTGTTAACATCCTGAAAGCCCTATACAGAAACACCTCAGGTAGAGTGAGGGCATACAACCAACTATCACCACTGTTCCCAACCAACAGTGGGGTTAGACAGGGTTGCCCAATCTCTCCATTTCTCTTTAACTTTGCCATCGATGACATTCTGGAGTCAGCTCTGAAGGATGTGCGTGAAGGTGGTGTAGATCTGCTACCTGGAGATAGACTTTTCGACCTCGAGTATGCAGACGATATCGTCTTACTGTGCGATAGCATGCAGGCTGCCCAAATCGCACTTAATCAGTTGGCGATCAGTGTCTGTAAGTATGGTATGTGCTTTGCGCCGTCTAAGTGCAAAGTACTGTTACAAGATTGGCAGGAGCCTGTACCTGCACTCACTCTTGCGGGTGAACCGCTTGAAGTTGTTGATAAGTTTGTGTACCTGGGTAGTTGTGTGAGTGCTGGCGGAGGGGTGACGGATGAGATTTCCAACCGTATAATGAAGGCTAGGGTGGCATACATCAACTTGAGCCACCTCTGGCGCCGTCGCGACGTTAGCCTGGCTGTCAAAGGTCGGGTATACAATGCTTCGGTGCGGGCTGCGCTGCTCTACGCCTGTGAAACCTGGCCTCTCCGAGCTGAGGATGTGCGGCGACTCTGCGTGTTCGATCACCGCTGTCTCCGCAGGATTGCTTGCGTTCGATGGCATCATCGCGTGAGTAATTCTGAGGTTCGGCGGCGTGTGTTTGAACACAGTGGAGATCACCATTCATTGAATGTCGTCATCTGGAAACACCGGCTCCGGTGGCTTGGACATGTGCTCCGAATGTCACCCCAGAGGCTTCCGTACAGGTCTCTGTTCGCTAGCCCTGGGACGGGATGGAAAAGGCGGAGAGGTGGTCAGTCCATGACGTGGCGTCGTGGGATGAAGGATTTTTGTGCTAGATTAGCATCGGTTGGTGTGTCACGACTCCCTGGTTGGGGTCCGAGAGATAGCTCAAATCGATGGCTCGAAACGTTATCGGATATGGCCAAGAATCGTAATCAATGGCGAATGTGTTGCGATTTCCTTCTTTCTTCCCTTCCCGATGATAGCTAACGAACACTGTTTGAACTTGTTAAGCATGACTGTTTTCCTTCCAGATGAAGTTCTTTATCCGTTCTCTACTTATATATATATTTTTCTTTTCCTTCCTTCCTTTTTTTTTTGATCTATGTTGTTTTATTATTATTGTGTGGCGCATCTTTCTTGGTGCCATATTGTACCAAGTTTTTTATGCGTTTAAATAATAATAATAATAACTCAGTAGTGAAAATCAGATAGCCAGAAAGGACTAAAGACAATGAAATCTGGGGACGAGCAAGACAAGAACCGACAACTGTTTCACGACTAGGTACTATAGCTTCGCCGAGTTTCATACTGGAGGTAGTGTAAGCAGTATCTACTTCATTGGTTTCCCCAGTAGTCAAGGATTCTAACTGAAATGACACTCGTTCACATACTACCGTTTTCGAAGAATTGAAAGTATTTAGAACCAAGGATTGCTTTGGGCCCTTAATACCCAAGCAGCCAGCCAGCTTAGCATCTATCAATGTAACGTCTGAACCATTATCCAACAGTGCATAAGTCTCTACCGAAGATTTCGGTCCTTTCATCTTAATTGGTAATAACCCTAAATAAACTTGTGGGACTAAAGACAATGAAATCTGGGGACGAGCAAGACAAGAACCTATCGACGAACAAATAAGTCAAAGAAAATGGAGAAGAGATGGACATGTTGAGGAAACCATTTAATGACTTCACGTGCCAGGCAATCGCTCGAGTAGAACACTGAGTCGGGTACAATTCCAAGGGTGAAATGGAGGCCATCGTGTGAGGAGGAGGCGAAAGCTTATAGGTAATCGTGGAACCAGCGAAAGAAAGATGAAATGGAGACGTGCTGTTGAAGCTCTATGTCCCACTCGGAACCCAAGGGACTAATAACAATTATTATTATCATCATATTAAACTCCATTATACTTGGTCTTTTTAACTAATGAGAATTCAACTGTTACCCCTAAAAGAGATAACTAACCTGTTGTTTCGGTGTAAGAAAAACAATTAATCTTGACAGAAGATGACTCAAACGAGATATTGTATGCATCAAGGTAATTGACTTCACATCATTCACATAATCATTCGATTGTAATTTTCTTGCAACTTTATTAATAACACTAGTTAAAAGTGTTACATACTGTAAACATAGATCACCTGTCCCATATCTAAGAAATAAAATAAAAAGGTTAAGAGTAAAAATTCGAGTTTAACTTTTCAAAAAAGGAAATAATTGAATATGAGAAGTTTATATGTACACTCACAACTTATAAAGAATAAGTAAGAGCTTGAACTGTGCGTTGGTGGCACAATGGTAGAATGCTCGTCAACCAGGCCTCATGTGGTCACGGGTTAGATCCTCGGTCACAAACGCACTCTCTTACCTCGCTAAAACTGGTGAAGAGGGAAGGTTGGGCATGAGGCTAGCAACCTCATCCCGTAAAAATAAACACCACTGCTACTGAAACTTCAAAAAGCCTCTAGCACGAAGCTCTATGTTCCACTGGGAACTTTAAGGAATAAAAAAGTAGCTTCCACAGACATGAAAGACATAATAGTGAATCAAACAGTTCAGTGTGTTAAAGGAGTTTGGGCAAAAAACTGAACTGCTACACTTCTGTGCATAGCTCTGTTTTGAAAATCAGTCAGTCAGTGCAGATGATCGATTCATTCTTCATCTTCCGGGTATGTGATAGTTTGATATTTCTGAATAATTTCTTATGGAAATTTGTTTTCATTTTTGATATGAGACGGGTCACATTTTATCGATGTAATTATGACGATTCATGAAGATAATGTCAGCACCTTTATCTCGACGAATCAGCTCCAAGTTTTTATTTCTTAAAATCTCATATGGAAACTAACACTTAGTACTTGCTTAATCATCGACATTAAGGTGCTGGCATTCTCCTCATGAACTGAAAGAATGACAACCAATCAACAGTTAGGAATTTGCCAGACTATTAACACCTAGTGAAACTAGCAGAATAATTCATGTACGATTAGAAGTCCGGTAAATCCAAACAATATACCCCAAGAGGTCTTTACGGGAAATTTGAAAACTATTTTAGTAATGATTATATGATTTATTTTGTTTTAGGTAGAGAGGTGACTGCCTGCTGATCTTTTTATGTGATACATATGGAAGGTTTGATTAGAAATTTTATCAAAGATCATGTTTCTTCAAGTATTAGTTTTGTAGGGGTTTTGTTTGATTGCATGGAAGATTTCATTATGAGTTGGTATCAGTTACAGAACCACTGGAAAACCTCATAATGAAATCCTCTATGCGATCATGTTTCTCTTCATAAGAGATGGGTTGAGCATTTTACAGTAATATTTAAGGATGCCATTTATTTTCAACTTAATACCTCATACAACTATTTCCATACTAAAGGTAGGGAAGGATACCCATTGTTCAGTGTACCTGTCATTCTGTCTGTCTGGATTCAACATTTTTTTTCTCTCATCTGACTGCGTAATCTTTGTCTTTAACCTCACCCGCCTTTATATTCTGTAATTTTGATTGTCTCTAATCTCACCCGCCTTTATATTCTGTAATTTTGCTTGTCTCTTGTTTCTATGATTTGAGTTCGACTCAGTACATTGTTACTTAACTTATTAGTCACTATGCATCCAACGCACATCCCTTACCATTATATACATGCATTTATTTATTATTTTTTAACTTGAACTGCCTGTGTAAAAACTATATAAGCACAATTTTCTGAGCACTGTTTACTAATTGTGAAACTTTCTGTCAACTGACAACATGTAAAATTTGCAAGTATGTTAACACGTTTCTGTACTTAAACCTGAAAATTTATTTAGGCTGTAAGCAGCTGACGAGAAGCCAACGATATAAATGATGGTACCATGTTATTCTGCACAAATCAATGTTGTTCTCGCTTTATTCAAGTTTATCAAGGGGAATAAATGCATGAAGTTTCAACATAGAACTTGGCACCGAAGTGCACCAGTTCGAGTTGCCACGTTCCAAATAGCACACAAAGGTAGACAAGAAGATGAGTGAAGAGAATCAATACAGTCTGACAAGTATAAGAGTGAAACAGAATGGGTAATGGTAGAAAGGAATATGAAAGATTACAGAGACTGAATACATCTGCGCTGGCCATTGACAACGATTTTGAGCCATGTCACCTATTGTCTCCAGCCATTGATTCCTAGAGTCCCGAGGGCCCCAACCCGGAAGTCTGCATCTCCCTACCTGACTCAGTTTAACTGTCAAGGATTTCATGGATTGATGAGGCCATGTTTTTGTTTGGCCACCACTTATTCTTTTCCAACCTGCACCTATATCAGCTAGTAATGCCCGTCGGGGGAGGCGATGGTTAGGCATGCGCACCACGTGACCTAGCCATCTCGATCTATGTAACTTTATAGCCTCGTCGATTGATTTTCCCTCTTTGCCCAACACTCTACGCCTAACGTCAACATTACTTATCTTGTGAAACCACCTAACGTGAGACAGAGATCGCAGACATCTATGATCGAAAGCAGTCAACCTTTTCATGTCTTCAACGCGTATTGGCCATGTTTCAGAGCCATAGAGAAGGACGGAGCGAACTGATGAGCAGTACACACGTCCCTTGGTTGATAACCGGATGTCACGCCTACGCCAGAGATGGTGTAAGTCAGCGAAAGCAGCTCGAGCTTTTCGGATCCGTGCTGAGATTTCATCGCCAATCAGTCCGTTGGTGCTAATACAACTTCCCAAATAGGTGAAGTGGTCAACATGTTCTATCACTTCACTCCCTATCACTAAGTTAGGGGTTGACGTGGTCCAGTCCTGTAGCAGCATCTTACATTTTGCAGGGGCGAATCGCATGCCAAACATACGAAGATTGCTGCTCAAGGTGTTCAGAAGACTCTGCATTTTGTCAGCATCCTCCCTAACAGGACTATGTCATCTGCATATTCTAAGTCCATAAAACTATTCCCTGGTAACAAGTCGATTCCTAAGTCGTTACGTTCAGTTAAGGATACTTCCATCAGCATATCTATGATGAAGTTAAACAGAAATGGGGAAAGTGGACATCCCTGTCGGACACCACTGGTTGTTACCAATTCAGATGACAATTCCCCATAAGCCCTTACACGACTACGTGAGTTTGAATAGAGTGCCTTGATTAGTGCAATGTACTTTCTTGGCACTCCCTTCACAGTCAGACATTGCCATAGTACCTTTCGATCCACGGAGTCGAAGGCCGCCTTCAAGTCAAGAAATATGACAATTGTTGGACGCCGAAAAGTGTGTCTATGTTCTAGAATCTGTCGAAGAGTGAAGATATGATCTATGCACCCTCTACCTGGTCTAAAGCCTGCTTGATTTTCCCTTGTCTGTTCCTCCCGAGTTCTGCTTAGTCTATGCATGATTACTGAGCCTAGGATTTTAGAGACTATGTTCGTTAGGCTGATCCCCCTATGATTATCACACGAGGACTTGTTTCCCTTCTTGAATGTCGGTATAATAAGTGACTTACCCCAGTCTGATGGCACTGTCTCTGATTCCCACACTTTGCCTAGTACCTCAGTTAATCTACAAACTAGTATGTCACCCCATATTTAAACACCTCCGGAATAATTCCGTCGGGTCCTGCCGCTTTGCCTCGTTTCAAATTACTGATAGCTTTTGTGACCTGTCATTGGAGAGGATAGAATATACGTGAACTCCGGATGGTCGATTTTCAGGAGTCTTATTCAGTCAGTGTAATACTTCAACTTCTGTAAAAAATTTCCTTCAGTGTTACATAAACAAAGCTAAAAATAACTATTTACTTAAACACATATCAAAACAACATGTAAAACATTTGTAAAAATGAAATCTACATCGATGGTTTAGGGGTAGAATTCTAGATAGTTACGTGGTCCGAGGTCCAGTTCGACTCCATATTGACGCACTCCCAAGCTTCACTCAGCCGGTACTAAACCCGGAAAAAAAAGAAGGTCGAGTAAGGTTAGCAAACTACCCACTCACCACCCCACAACCCCCGTAAAAACAACATGACTGTTACTGGAATCTCATAGTTTGAAGCTTTATATTTCAATCAGAATGCAGGAAATGAATAAAAAAAAGGAAGGCTTAATCTAATAAGTAAAAATTCCACAAAAAGTACAGATACGCATTAACGAAACTGTAGGTTTTCTTCTGATACTGTTTTTTTTATTCTTCATTAACTTGACTAACTGCAACACACTCAGTCTGGTATTCATTAAGGATTTCAAAAGGGATGCACAGAACGTTAGATGAAACGACAGATAAATACTTACCGGGCAACAAAGCACCATACATCCATTGCCAATAAATGAACTAATTGATGTTCAGATAATATAGATTGAAGCAGAGCTGTTTCCTAAGCGCAGAGAATTAGAAAAGATGTATAAACATTCCAATAGTAATATATAAAAGAAGTAATAAATTACGCCATAAAAGCATACCAATGTAATAGCTGATATACCCGCGAGTGAGAAATGAAGCAGTCAGATGCAAGAAAAATACATTACGCTATATACTGCAGGTTGATTCAGATGAGTACTTGGAAAATAGTCACATCGATCACCACTAGGGCTTTCTAGCCAGATTAAAATGATCTAAGCACCGGATAGCCGTTTCGATCGTTTCGGTAATCAAGGTGGTGATGATAACACGAAGTAAAAATCCTTAATTAACTTGGTCCAAATGTATGAGAAGTCAGATCCCAATACAAAATAAAACCAAAATGATGCTTTAGGCGAAAATCGTTACTCAGACAGTAGGAAGAGCATTAGTGTAGATGCATTGTGGTCAACTGTTCATCGTCATAAAAAAGTAAATCAGGTTAGATGAATCAGCTTTGAAACTTGTTTATCGGATATATCACACATTGTGACAGTATTATTTTCCTGGACTATGTTTTGGATACATATTATTCAAAATCATATTAGTAGTATATAGTCCTATGCACATATGTTTGTTTTCTTGATTACCATTTATGGTATCAAGGAGATCACATATTACGATATGAGTAATTTGGTTTCTACAGAAAAATATGGTGAAATCCCATCCCTAAAACTCTGCACATTGCAACTGATTCCTTTAGTTCCTAGAGGAGCATAGGACTTCAACCGCACGTCTCCATTGCCTTCGGTTCTCCATCGACGTTTTCACCCGGCCCTAAGTCTGTCAACATGCTTTCAGTTCGTCTTTGCTTGACCTCCTCCATGTCACCCCACCCTCGCACTGACGAGCAACTAGCCACTCCCCATCCGGGTTCCACTCGAGTGATGGCCAGGCGTGTGATGTCACTTGATGGTTTGCTATCACATAGTATGGCCAATCCACTTTCATTTCTTCTTCCATATTTGTTGCGCAATCGGTTCCTGGTTGGTTCGTTCGCAGAATTCCCCGTTGCTGATCTTTTCTGGCCATCTGGTATTGAGTAGTATTGAGCGAAGACAGCTGTTGATGGAAGTCTGTAGTTTGTTCATAGTGCCCTTTGTGACGCGGCGCCAAGTCTCTGATCCGTATAGTAAGTAGCACTGACTTCACATTGGAGTTGAAAAACAGGACCTTCTTTTTCATGCTGAGTAGTCCTGTTGATCTCCACACAGACTGGAGAGTAATGAAAGCCTGCCTTGCTTTCCCAATTCTCGCTTTGATATCCGCACATTGCAAATTACTCATTTGTAATTCGTGAATTTGAGTTTTGCCATCGTATAGATACAGTTAATATGATTGATTATGAACAATAAATCGTGTTCCGAATACCATCCAGTATATAAAACTGCTTCACTGTATGATGTATCCAAATAGACAAATTATCAGGGAATTACATAGTACCCCAGAATCTGTTTTATACGTTCTAATTTGCAACAGTTCACTAGCCGAATATTAAGCGTCGTACCGCATATCTAAACTATAATATATTAAAATTCTGTCCCAGACTGGTTTTTATCTTAAAATGTCTGATATAAAAAGAACGTTAGCGTCGTGTTACTGAAGTGCCCAAGGGACAACTGCTTGAGTCTGGTCAAAGACGATCTGTTTAAAGTGATTTCTACCATTGTGTCCGTATGAAGACTTTACTACGGATAACGGACCATCACAAGACCGACCTTCACTAACCCTCCCTCACATCCACACAATGGGAGGCAATATATTTGGCTTGCTGGTCATCTGAGGGAAACACCTTATTGCAGTATGACTTTACCACCAAAGCCTCAAAACAGAGTCAGCGAATAACACTATGATGGTTCAATCGGTATACAGACGATCTTTATGGCATGGTAAGACCTTCAGGAACATTCGTTCCGCCTAGTGAAGCTGTCAGCCATTCGCTAATCTAAGTCAAAGAAGTAGCAGGATAAGTAAGTAGTGTTCAACGGATTAATCACTTCATTTTTAGTGTTCCAATGCAATTTAGTGCTGAGGTTATGCCTTATATATCGCCTATATATATATATATATATATATATATATATATATATATATATATATATATATATATATATATATGCCTCTAAAGCCTCAGGATGGTCGGGGGTGGGTACCTTGCGCTGCGGGTTGGCCACCCTCCGTACACCTCTTGAAATGCTCCCATATGACCGGGCGTCTTACATAGCCTCTCCTGAGGAAGTCCTACTCACTGCCTTCACGTGGCGGAGGTGTTTTTCACCGAAGTGATAGGGCAAAATCGGAGGCACGGCGCTCTTCACCGGGTTGACTATCCATTGGATGACAGTCTAAGGGAGATGGCTAAACCCTGATTCCAAACCTCCAACGACTGGCGTATGAAGCTCACCGGAGTTCACCGGCAGACGTATGGACAAAGGGCTTATTGGATGCCCTGGATGACTGGCCCCATTCAAAAAGGCGTATGAACCGGACTCCGGTCACCGGCTGCCAATGGATAGTGGACTCCCTACTCCACTCCTACTGCCTTGTAGGTCACACTTGGTTGTGTAAAGGCTAGAGCTGCACTCTCAAACTAAAGGCCGAGCGATGCTGGGGACATCACTCGTACCTAATTCCCATGAAACTTCATGAACTCGCTGAAAACATGGCTTGGTACAGTCAAGGCTGATATGGAGTGCCTGGGGCTACAAACCGTCTACGGGCTCCGTCTGTGGAACAAGAATTGGATAACCCTGTCGCAAAACCTTGCATCAGATCGCCGCTCCTGGGCAGCGATGATTCGAGATGTTCATGAAGCCGGCTCATCCTCCCGTAGGAGATAGCCGAAGTAAAGTAAGTAGTATATACATACATATATATATATATATATATATTCCTCCCTGTTTATAGTTACGTCATTCGTGCTTGAAATTTGACTATTGAAGCTGAAGAAAATATATGTATAAATGAAGGGAACTTTTCATCATTTGGATTGAAAATGAAGGATGTACAAGGTTCGAGAGGACGACTGCAGAATACACACACCCTTCGATTGATATCTGCATATCTGTCTGTCTGTTTTCGACATAGAACTTTGCACAAATGTGCGGAAGTTCAAGTTGCCACACTCCGTGTAGCACGCGAAGCAAGAGAAGAAAGTAGAAGAAAGAGAAAGAAATACCCAATCCAACATCATGATAAATACAAAATCACAAATATCTGCATATCACGTTTACATCAGAAATGACGTAAGCTGTCAGATGTTACAAGTGCCTTATATAATAATATCTATGCTAAGATCTCATCAGCAATCAGTTCATTAGGGTTAATGCAGCTTTCTAAATAAGTGAAGTGGTCAAGCACGTTCTACCACTTCACTCCGTATCTTTAAGCTAGGACTCGGTGTATTCCAGTCGTGTAGCGTCATTCTACATTTGACAGCAGAATACCGTATGCCTAACACTCGAAGATTTCTGCTTAATGTGTGCAGAAGAGTCTGCATTTTATTAGCATCTTCACCCAAGAGGACAATATCATCCACATAATCTAAGTTAATGAGACTGTACTCTAATAGCAAGTTAATCCATTAGTCGCTTAAGTCAGTTAAGGCATGATATCCATAAATAAAGGTTTTTTCTTAGGTAAATCAAAGATGTAGAAACAAAACTGATTAGCTTCGTATACTGGATAATCAAAACGAACTATGTCAACTCACTAGATAAGGGAAGCACGCCATTGATAGACCACAAACTGAAGCACAAATCTGCTGTAAAATAGTAATATAAAATTCCCCAGAATATGGATATTCTCTATTTTTAGTTTCTAAAGTAAGAGAAAAGGAGGAGTAAAATCATGTTAATGCACTGAGCAATCGTAGGCTTAATCGATAATAAAAAGGTTTTTTTATCAGTAAACAAGATAATTACAAATATAATTGAAATATTTATTACCTAAAAGCTTCTCTTATATGTCAATCCTTTTCGTAAGAGTGTAAAGTGTTGTTCTTCACTGTCCCTTTACAGGGATTTGTCTGTCTGTCTGTTTTCGACATAGAACTTTGCACCGATGTGCACCAGTTCAACTCGCCACACTCCACTCCATGTAGCACGCGAAGCAAGAGAAGAAAGTACAAGAAAAGCATAATAGAAACAGTGAGCAGAGGTGTGAGACAAAGGAGGAGTAATAACGAAGAACAAAACAGTTTCATTGGAGATCATAAGTCACAAGGAGTGGATGCATCTGCGACAGCCACTGAGGACGATTTTGAGCCATGTCACCAATTGTTTCCAACCATAGATTTTTACCGTCCCGAGGACCCCAACCAGTCAGGAAGTCTACACCTTACTACGTGGCTTAGACTAACTGTTGTAGATTTCATTGACTGGTGCGAAGTTTTTGTTTGACCTCCACTAGCTCTTTTCCAGCCTGACCTTATGTCAGGTAATATTGCCCGATGTCGAGGAAGGCGTTGACTAGGTATAGGTAACAAATTTCCTAACCATCTCAGTCTTTGTAACTTCACAATTTCGTCGATTGATTTCCCCTGTTTACCTAGAACTCGACGCCAAACCTGAATATTGCTCACCTGATTATGCCACTTTACACGGGAGATAGAACGCAGGCAACTATGATCAAAGACGGCTAATCTTTTCATGTCTTCCACTCTCAATGGCCAGGTCTCACAGCTAGCCATAAAGGAGCACGGAGCGGACTGGTGAACAGTACACCCGCCCTTCGGTCGATAGTCGAATATCTCGTCTACGCCAGAGTCGGCGTAAACTGGCAAATGCGAAACGAACCCCTGTATTCGTGCTGAGATTTCGTCAGAGATCAACCCGTTGGTACTGGCTGATGGTACTTCCCGAATAAGTGAAGCGGTCAACGTGCTCTACCACTTCACTTCCTATTTTTAAACTAGGCGTCGATGTAGTCCAGTCCTGTAACATCATCTTGCATTTGGCGGGAGCGAATCGCATGCCAAACATTCGTAGATTGCGGCTCAAGGTGTCCAAAGACTCTGCATTTTGTCAGCGTCCTCGCCTAGAAGGACTATATCGTCTGCATATTCTAAGTCAACGAGATTATTCCCTGGTAGCAAGTCAATCCCTGAGTCGCTGAAGAGAGCTAGGGCTAAATCCATCAGTACTTCTATGATGAAGTTGAATAGAAAAGGGGATAATGGGCATCCTTGACGGACACCACTGGTCGTCATCAGTTCAGATGACAGCTCGCCGTAAGCCCTCACCTGGCTGTATGAGTACGAGTAGAGTGCCTTAATGAGTGCAATATATTTTCTTGGAATTCCCTTTACAGCCAAGCATCTCCAGAGAACTTCCCGATCGACAGAGTCGAATGCTGCCTTTAGGTCAAGAAATATAATGACTGTTGGACGCCGGTAGGAATTCCTATGTTCTAGAATCTGTCGGAGGGTGAAGATATGATCAATACACCCTCTTCCTGGTCTAAAGCCTGCCTGGCTCTCTCGTGTTTGTGTTACCCGAGCACCACTCAGTCTACGCATGATTATTGAGCCTAAGACTTTAGATACTATATTAGTCAAGCTAATCCCTCTGCGATTATCACAGGAAGACTTGTCTCCCTTCTTGTATAGGGGGATAATCAGTGACTTACACCAACCCGATGGGACTTCTTCTGATTCCCAGACGCTGACTAGTACTTCAGTTAATGCAGACAGTAAGCTGTCTCCACCGTACTTAAATACCTCTGGAGTCAACCCATCAGGTCCCGCTGCTTCGCCTAGTTTCAGATTGGTGACAGCTTTAGAAACCTCAGTTAGGGATGGAGGACCTGCGTCTAAATCCCATTCAGGGAGGTGTTGGATGTTCGGAAGGTTGAGCGTGGTTTGCAGGGATTTATTCGCTTACTGGTCTGGATTACGAGTCAACATCAGTTAGAGGACAATTGGCAAACCATGAAGTATTGAACAGCTGTTTCGTTCGAATTTGGGAGGATTACAAGGCAGTCGGTACCCATCAAAGTTCGAACCCAGGACTTTCCGATTACAAGGCGAGTTCTTAGTATATCGTTGTTTGAACTCATTTCCAAGGACATGTTCTTATGTGTCCCAAGTAATGGGCCATATTCATTGCGTGTAAGAGCTGGCGATGCTACGCAAATGCCAAGATTAAAGTAGATAGGACGGGGATCTAACCAGTCGAGTGTTTATGTCAGTGAGTGATATCATCACATAAAATGAATTTTTTTAATGCGTTTAAAAGTATTGTGAAAATCGAATAATGACACAGAACTGAAGAAAAAAGCGTAGTATCACTACGTGGGTTTATGCAATGAGAGACTGTGAACCATAATTCATTAGGCATGCTAACGCATCACCGTTTAGACTGAAATGAACCAATTAAGTTTTTGTTGTTGCAATGACCCCACAAACGACCCGGTATAGCCAAGGGCTGTCTGTCTGGATTCAACATAGAACTTGACACCGAAGTGCACCAGTTCCAGTTGCCACGTTCCTATTGGCACACAAGGTAGACAAGAAGATGAGTGAAGAGAATCAATAGAGTTTGACAAATATAAGAGTGAAACAGAATGGGTAATGGTAGAAAGGAATATGAAAGATTACAGAGACTGAATACATCTGCGCTGGCCATTGACAACGATTTTGAGCCATGTCACCTATTGTCTCCAGCCAAGGACAGGTAAACTTCAGTCTTCTTCCCCAAATGCTCTCATGTAGCCACGCGTCTATAGCCTTTGTCACGTAAGTTCTATTCACTGCATTCACACGGCAGACATATTCCTCACAAAAGTGAAGGGGTGAATGAGAACGTATGGTGCTCAAACCGGACTGGTGGACATGAATGTCTGCCTAAGAGAGTTGGAAAACCCTGAGTCCTGTGGCAGATATTAAAGCATATTACTCTTTGTTATGCTCTTAAAAGGTGATATAAGTATTCAAAGACATCATAACTTATTATCCCCAAATCTTTAATTTTAGTGCAACCTTTCCCAATTAGTTGTAAAAAGACATTTTAGAAATATAAATTCGTAGCATACAAGCATTAATACACTTGTATTAGTAGCATAGATATTTTTGATATAAACTATGACAGTGGTAGAGTATGCCAATTTTCAACGAACCAAATCACTGATGCGGTTAATATGTGATTGTTAAAGACGGAATAAAAATCTGAATTGCAACTGCAACTATCGCACATTACATGAGTAACAGCAGTCTGTTAACCCTCGGCTATTACAGGAGAGTTTTACCATCAATGAACCCGATCATGGTTTCCTGTAAATCCCCATAGGGAGATGTCGAGATATACCGAACTACGAACTGTTAAAAGATGGAGGGGCACCGGTAGACTAAGAAGTAATGAACAGATGTTTCATCCCATTTCGAGAATCATTGGTAGTGCACACCCATAATCTTATTGAGAATTATAAGCCTGCGTACAGGCTAGCACGCTACCATCCGACAACATGTGATTCCTAACTTCTGACAACTCTTATCAACATTTACACATCCAACAAACAAACTGCCCATGAAAATGTTCAGAAAGGTAGCATCTAATGAGAACAGTCAACTTTTAATTAAGCATAGTACAATGCTTACCGTTATTTTTCACTGGTGAGCTTAAATCTATTTTTTCACATGCAGCAAACAATTCTCTGTAAATATTGAACTTATCATTCATCCAGCGAGAGTAACAATCTGTACAAAAGGTATAAAACAGGTAGATGTCATATTCAGGAAATGTATATTTATGAACGAACGATAAAACTAAACATATTAAATTGTCTGTAATATCTTTGTATATTTGTCGGAGGCAATAGGCAGGAAGCCCAGTCTTAGAACTAGGTTTCCTGCTAGTTGACACTCACAAGTCAGCAAGGCGTATCCTCAACCTTGAAGGAACTCATATCCCTTTTGAGATTTGAACCCACGTAGCCCAGTGAGTACTGCAGTCAGAGACGTTACCACTGAGTTATTCCAGTTCGCGATTGACCTCCTGTAGGACTGTATTGAATACTTTTATTGGACACAATCTAATATCACCAATTCAGTGTGCATCGTGATGGTGAGCTACCTAGAGTGGGGGCCACAATGCAAACCTGACTGATAGAATTCAATCTGCACCAAAGATAGGACTAGACACATCACAATAGTTACTAACTAGTGTCCAATAAAAGAATGTGTTTACACCTTCATACCATTTGACTGATTGAGATGATTGGTTGTAGAGTACTCACATCAACCAGTAGTGCTTGCTAACCAGATCGAAGTGATCTAAACACCGGAGCTGAGTCCCACTGGGTACACTGCTGATAAGCTCGACCCCAAATGAGAGGAACAGTCGTCTGGTGTTTAGATCATTCCGATTTTGTTAGCAAGCATTAATGATTGATATGAAGTATGCGCTGAAGATGTCACCCAGTAAGGTGATGAAAGCTTCGCAAACTAACTATCCAGCTCAGAGAACAAAACCACATCAAAATGATTGATATGATTTTTATACAACTACTCATCTAAATCAATCAGTAGTGTATAGCATCATGCATTCGTGCTTGGTATGGTATCAAGCAGATCACATCTTGTAATCTGAGTTATTTCGGTTTCCATCGATATCCAGTCTAATTTGATTTTTTTCAAATCACGGTAACTGATAAAGAATGCTGTTCAACGCAACGCAGAGTGAAATTCATTGCATTTATTTGTAGTTTTCATTTCCTTTAGTAGAGTTTCTTTTAACTGGAGATTTCTCAGTTGCTTTAAAAAGACAGACATCTTTTAGCTTGCTGTCAAGTTATGTATATATCGAGCCAGTTGAGACAATAGTAAATATATCATACTCCATCAGTCATTCTGCTCAGTGAGATACATATGATTTTTACAATTTAATACAAACGTTTTATTACCTGTCTAGTCAACAGACCAGTAGTCCACATCACAAACCAGAATGTATAAAAAATAATAATTCAGGACATTAGTTAGCACCAATCGGATCTCACAGCACAACCCCTTACGCCGAGATTTCTGCCTACTTATGTATATGTATATATAATCCTTCCTAAACGACGAAAGCCACCTGGAACAAAATTAGACGAGTTCTTAACTCCGGAATATAATATACATTTTATTTCCCATAACTTCCACGCGCCATACACGTTTGGTGAAATTCCTCGTCCTTGTTTTGCCGGAATCCCTATATATATTGGGTAGTCACGAATTCCAATTGAAATATACAGAACAGTCGCTAAGTTAAATAACATGACACTACAGTGCACTTAGTAGTGAATGCAAATATGTTGTCCTTTTATTTTTTGAGAGGGAAAATCTGACGAACGACAGACATGACACGAAAAACTGAACAAAGTGTACATCACTTTCATTATTAAAACACGTCTAAATGATATTTGGTTGCCAAAATGAAATCAAAGTATAGTAAAGCATACAAAATCTTCCCGTTAAAACTGAACTTTCCGACTACAGACGCTTTACAAATTCAAGTTATGAGTACAGTATCAAAAAATGTAACAGCTTACTACCCATAAACTTATACAAAGAAGTGAACTTTATTAGCCTTAGAACTATTCTAACATCAGATAGGAAAGGCAAGAAATTAGAAACTATGATATAAATATAAAAAAGAAAACTTACTAGGATGTCGAGACATGTTGCCAAGAATTTTACCATAAATTCTACAAATCACTGGTGCATCGAAATCTATGAAAACCAGAAAGATGAATGAATTTATACAGTTGTCGATTATGGAAGAGTACATATTTATTTGTTTGTTGAAGTATTACTCAAAATATATTGAAACACGGAAATCAGTATGAAGACCAGTATTCAAAACCCTGACTCCTACAGTTCACAATAAACTGTAGTTAGGAATTAGAGCAAACATATTTCTTCAGGTCATGGGCAACTGCAGATATATACAATTCTCAGAGTAAAGATGTCTGGAGAGTTGTTAGATGCCTACAAAGCACAACAGAATAACTAACAGCTTTAACACTTATCTCTGCATAAAACCGAAGCAGTTCAACCTGCCACACTCTGTGTAGCAAACAAAGATAAAAAAGAGCTAGAATGAACATTAAACTTGAAAGAATAGTAAGATGGAGATACATGAAGATTCAACTGGATCTGGGAAAGTACAAAGAGTGAATACATCTGTGCCATGCAGAATGTATTTGAGTCATCTCACTAATAGTCTTAAGCCAGTGGTTCTTAGAACCCCAACCAGGTAGTGGCATCTCCCTACGTGGACCAAACCAACAGTCAAAGACTTCATGGAGTTACTCCAGATTTCGACTTCACCACCATATGCAGATGATCTAACTCTATCACTACCTATCACTTCCGAGTCTGACAGCTCCAAACTTAATAGCTTTCTATTGGACATCGACAAGTGGTCTAAGTCAAATGGTCTTATGTTAAATCCTTCCAAATGTCAGGCAGTTGACTTTACTTTCAAGTATCGACGTGACTTACATGAACTAGTTAGTTCCCATGATGCCTGTAGCATAGATGGCACGGAAATTGAAACCAAATCAAGTATTAAATACCTTGGACTAGTTTTTTCCTCTGACCTTTCATGGTCATCCCATATCTTATCTATCTCTAAGAAAGTGTTTCGTCTTACCTTCTACATTAAAAAGTTAAGACAATCAGGTATCAACCAACCTTTAGTTTTGCAATTTTTAAACTCCTGTATTTTACCTATTGTACTGTACTGCTCTCCATTAATCTTTCCTGGGCTGCTCAAAAAAGATTATATCATATTACGAAGAGTATTAAGTGCTGTGAGTAGGGCTTGTGGTCTGCCACTGCATGAGCTCGCTAATACTATAGTCGAGAGGCATATAAATTCCTGTAAGAAATGGGCAAAGGCTATACTGTCAGACCCTCTGCACCCCCTTTATTCACACCTGTCCCCTTGTATCTCATCAGGTAGGACGAGAAGTCAATATAAAAAGATATATGCTCGTACTACTAAGTATAGAAATTCTACAATACCCTATTTAGCGCGTACTTTATGTGACGAAGACTCTGTTAGACGTGAAACTTACAAGTTACTATGTAATTAGCACAGTGAGTCGACCCTTTTATCGTTCATCTTTCTGTATTTTATGGTGTTACACTTTCTATCGTTTAAATCGTTACTCTGCTATTTTATAATAGTTGGTATTACTATTATTACTACAATTTTGTACTTTATACATATTTTTCTCCGTATGGCACACAGTATTTTGCTACGTAGTTGCTACAACAATCGTTTTATTACTATTATGTATTGTGTATTTTTAATTTTTTTTTGTCGTTTTTGAGTAAATTAGATGCAATATTGTACTGAATGCCGAAAATTCCTTGCTGTATCATTAGTACTGTTTTTGGAATAAAGCAAAAATTATTATTATTATTTCCAAGCTAATCTGATGTTAGCTGACACAGTTCATTGAGGAAAGCGGTGACCCATCATGCATAATACATGCCCCAACCATCTCAATCGAGGTAGGTTTACACCCTGATCGATTGATTCTTCTTACTTATTTAGCATTCTATGCCTAACCTCAATATTGCTTACCATATTAGGCCATATAATACGGGAAAGAGAACCCAAACATCTACGAGCAAAGACAGTTAATCTTTACACATCTGCTCTAAATGATCATATCTGACGGAAATAGGGAACAGAGTGAGCGAAAGAGAGTACTCTGACACAATATACTGGTCATGTTTGTGTCACTAATCCCTTAAAGTTAATAATTCAGATAACTGATTTACAAAGGACTTAAAATCTTCATGCCATGAAAATAATAGTCGATTTCCACATGAATTGAATTCCATCCCAAGCGGCTGAATGGTCAGCATGCTTGATCTCGTAACTCGCAGGTCCCGGGTTCGATCCCTGGTGGGGTCATGGCGCGCCCTGGTGAAGGGTCCTACAATAAGACGAAACAATAGTCCAGTGCTTCCTGGTTTTCAATGATCTCTCTGATGTTGGTCGTAACATAAACTCAAACAATTGTAATTAATCCAAAATCCCCACAAATCCTACAATCTGAGTATCATACATAACTATTTACTTTTTGAGTTAATCTGCATTTCCCGGTGATTGATTGATTATATTGAACCCGAATGCTCGGTGTCTACTGACAAGCCAGCAGCTAGTTCGGACGATTCAGTGATGTTTAAGGATTAGCGTGAAGTTATTTTGGTTCATGATGACTTTCATTCCAACGGAATCAACCAACGGAGAGAAGAAATTAACGTGATGTACAAGAGATGGCTCCTGTGACTTAGTGGGTAACGCTTCAAACCTACAAACTCACTCAGAGACAAGCTCTGTAGACTAAAAGACCCGTTGGATCCAATTAAACAAAATAACATAAATTACAAAATACCCTGCAATGACTGTGAGGTCAACTACATAGGTCAAACTAGTAGGTCAGGGATAGTAAGATTATCAGAACATAAGAATTTAGCTAAGGTAAGAATGGTTGACCCTGAAAAGATAAGTAATTTAGAAAAAAGCTCAGCTATTGCACTTCACGCAATAACAAACAACCACACAATAGGGTGGGATAGGGTTAAAATTCTAAAAAGCAATTAAGGTAGGTGGAAAGAGAGGTTGATCACAGAATCCTTATTTATCGAGTCTACACCCAACACATGCAACAGAAATGACTCAATGCAAATACCAGAGATATGGAAGATATTATTACCGCAGGTCAAATCAGAAGAGGATAATAAATAATCTTAAAATTCTATTTCAATTCAAACACATCACAACATTCTAACATAAAAACTTATTATGACTATTAAAACACTCGTCGTATTTCCCATCTGATTATAGTTGATCAATAACACTCGTATTATTGCCATCAGTCAAATCAGAAGATATTAAATAATCTTAAAATTCTATTCGAATTCAAACACATTCAAATACAACATTCTAACAAGTAGCTTATTATGACTGTAAAACACACTCGTCCTTTTTTCCCATCTAACTACAATTGATCAACAACACTCGTACTATTATTTCTGAATGTACATTATCTCACATTGATTTTAATCCAATATCTAATTGATTCTACACATGTATATAGATGAAAGAACAAAGTTGTGTGAGTAACTTGATATGATTATGAGCAATAGTTTGTGCTCGAAACGTCATCATTTAATATAACTGTACAACACTGTGTGTAATTTATCAAAATAAAATCTTATCCATAATGGAGTTATACTCTACCACAGTGCCCAAGTTTTATACTTATATCGATAACGCTTTGGTGTTTGAAACGATGGGTGCAGGGAAAATAATTCTTACCTACACGGGATAATACTTGAATAAAAATTGAACAATCTTCTCGACTTTCATAGGACGGATGTAAACTGATTAAGTGAGACAAAACAATATCGACGGAAAGAAAGAATGAACTGCTCAGTTCTTCCGCTACTTTTGTGTCAAAACTGGAACCTAAAGGATATGATCCGCCCTGATAGGAGACCCTAAAATAATGTAATAAAAATAAAAACTGTAGGCGTTTAAAATGTAAACAAGTGCAAACTAATAGCTTCGAAGAAAACTTTCACTTATACACTAATAAATGAGTTGTTAGGCTCTTGATGAATGAATATTTATTATATTTCCAACCGGACTGATGGACAACCATGTCTATCCAGGGGAGCTGGAAAACCCTGATTCCAAACCTATGGTGTATGCATGGGGTCCAGAATCCAAAAGGATCCAATAACGTACGAACCTGTTTTGGTAACCGAGATCCACGGGAACACAACTCCTGATGCTGCTCGACTGCTTTGTAGATCAGACTTAAAGTGAAAGGCTCGGAGGGTAATCCTTTAAGAAAACCACCTGTTTCTGTCTAGGCATCCTGACAGTATCCCAGCCCTCATACGAACTATAAGATTTTGTGTGGCACATCTCTTGGTGCTCGTAATGTGCCAAGTTTGTTTTGATAAAAATAAAAGTTATTCATAGCACCCCATTCAAGTGACAGAGCAAAATATTTTTATGCTTGAAAAATATAGTTGCTGACCAAACTCTATAACGCTGTCGAACCACTTGTACATCACTGCTGAAATTTGATTTTGGGAACATATCCCTTATTGAAATACTACGGAGGGACCGTAAGTAAAATTTAATTCCTCTGCTATCTAAAAAATATAAATCCGTAGAAGAGCCTGAGCAAAGATCGGAATATGCTTGACATGCATGTCACACCTGCCAAATGTAAGATGGTATAAGGCTAGTCAGCGCCAACTCTTCGTTGAAAGATAGGGAGTGAAATGGTGAGATGTGCTGACCACTTCATTTATCTGGAAAGTTTTATATGCGTCCTTATGGATGGGATGGATAGAAAATGTTTGGTTGGTATATGCTAACTTGCATCGATTTGGAGCAGGTGTCATATTCTGCTCTCCATCAATCAAGAGTATAAAATGAGCGACAGTTCGCTCTACTCCTCCTCACGGTTGCAAAAAGTGGCCGCTACAGGGTTACATAAAGTAAATGAAAGCTTCGCAACTAAACCATCCAACCCTAAGAACACAACCACACCAAAATTTATATTATATATATATATATATATATATATATATATATATATAGGGCAAAAAACATAAACTACGCATATACTTGATCATCCATGAAAGCCAGTCCAGAAAAACGACTTTTGCTTGAGGATCTCTATCGGCAGTTAAAACTTCTTTTGTAAACTCTCGAATACAAAAGGTGAATACACGACTGAGAAGGTTCAACATCTGGATGCTGTTTTCTGATTTCTCAGAATTATTTTTTGGTTTTACTTCACCCTGAAAACAAACATACAAGACAATGTAACAAGACTATGTGATGTTCTAAAATTCCAAAGCAGAGCTATCCACTTACAAGTTTTTTTAATACGAGATTTCAGTATGATAAAAGTATTGAAACAGTTTTATTATTCGTTACTTGAGTTATGAGTGGAACATGGGGTTTCAGTAGCACATCTACATCGTATTGTTTTCTACTGTCATTTTCGCCTGGCTTCACAATTGTCTACAAGCTTTCATTTCCTCTTCACATGATCACCTCTATATTACCCTCAGACGCCCAACTAATCACTTTCCATTCGAGTCCCACTTTCCTTAGCATATGTCTAACCCACTTCCACTTATTCTATGACCCAGTGGAGATTGATTCCCACTGCATGAAAGTATTCAGTGCTGTTAGTGACATCATTATAACCACACTCTTAAAGTGTTTATGGTTGTTGTACTGATGATCGGGAGATATTATTGACTCTTCTGTTAATAAATTGAAGAGTTCACTTTTATTTTACCTGCTTTCATATATTCATAACACTTCTAAATCATATCTTCTCGTTTCTTCTGAAATCCAATTTGTCTTGACAACTTCAAATAAAGTATGGGCATTTCAAAGTCCATTTGCTTACTTTTGCTTTCAGAGAAAGACACACTGGTCGAGTGGCTTCCCGGAGGCTTCTACTCACTAGCGTAAATCGGCATCCCCGATTTCAGTGCAGAACAAGTTGAATTTTTCTGTGCTTTATAGTTTCAGTAGTACAGGAATTGTTTTTTTATGGAATGGGGTTACTTGCCCCACACCCAACCTTTCCGCTTTTTGCGGGCTTAGGACCCGGTAGTAAACTAAGAGAGGTGTTATTAGCACTAAATAGCGAAACGTCAGTAAAAACAATATTGTTTTGTTTTTCATTCATTGGGAAATACAAAAAACTTTATTATAGTGAATAAGAGAGGTGTCAACAAAACATTTTGCAACTAATTTAGAAAAATTTTGTTCAAGCATAAGAGAAAATCTAAATGGTGAACCTACCAAAATTATTCACTCCTACAAGTCTTTTGCGTACATTTTAGTGCTGCGAGCCCAATTCATAATTGCTAAGTTGAAATGGCTGTCAGGCTAACACTATGGTGAGATCTGAGTGTAAAATAATGCTGCTGGCTGAAACAAGTCTGGGTGACCTAGTGTTCACTTTGGATGACTGACAAGCTAGTTATGTTACCTTTCCAATCTGGGAAACTAGAACATATAGACTCACAAAATGCGGCAACAAAAACTGCTGCAGTACCTTACAAGGTCCCAGATTTATAAAATTCGTTCAACTCAAGCAGGCGTCCCCTTTGTCCTGTAGACGCGTAACAATATCTCTCTTCTTCAAGCACTCCAAAAAGAAAGCGAATTCTAAGGTATGAACAGCGGGAAAGTACCAACTGTTCGCACTCTCCCATTGACACAAACTTTTTGTCTACCAACTTCTTGCCCTCCTCAGAATTTTCATACCACTAGCGTTATTATCATTCCCCAAACAGTTGTTTGATTTTCCCTTAACTCAGTGTCAAGTGCTAACTACTCATCACAACGAAACATCATTTCTGGTCTCTCAATTGCATACTGTTAGCTTAAAGCTGGGGCTTTCAACGTTCAAACCGTCTGCCTAAATGGAAATCAAGCCTTAGTATACACCTCTAGATGTATGTTGCAGCTCTCAGAAACGTAAGTCTCGAAGGTAGCTAATCTCTTCACGACAAGTGAATATGATGAATACAAAATAATCATCTTTAAACGTCAGGATATTATTTGGCTATCTCTCATGAACTTGTAGATGTGAAGAGAGTTAATCCTTGCAGGGAAAAAAAGACTCGACCGGACATGAACCTGCACCTTGCTTCGTTGAATGAGTTTATAGGAACTAAAAGGATGATGACACCTTTCACCAATTTTATGGCCATGAGCTTCGCAAACCTGTTGTTTTAATTTTCGCGTAAATATGAAGTCACAAAAAGGTACTTCTGACATAGAAAGCGATGCCTCATTATGATGGATAACGAAGTTGACATATTTTCATAATAAATTAAGGGCTTTCTAAGGAGTAACACTGCAAAAGTTGTAATCTTAGTCACATGTAGGGTAGCGAATCAACCTTTTACTTTGAGGTAAGAACAAAATCCACCGACACAGACATACCGAACTACCAAAATAAAAATTTTGGTGCAATTTCGGGACAGATTTATACACTTGGGAGTCACTGGAGAGGGGATGATGCATTTCTACCCACCCGCAAAACAAACTAAAATTATCCCTAGTTTTTTTTACATGGGTGTATTTGGTTGAAACGTGTATTTTAATTGCAATTCTAACCTTAATTAAAAAGTTATTGCTCATAAGTTTTCTACTATAATGAAAATATTGTATGTTATGAAAATAAATGTCAAATTAAAGCACATGAAAATGAACCCTGAGAGTTTGACTCACTCCATATAGGCGATTGCATTTGTCATAATAGTGCAGCAGAGAGTGAACGATGCACTTTAGTATAGTGCTGAATAATCCATCAACTTCCTTATTCGCAGAATTAGTTTTAGTTCTTGAACTGTCGTGCACATAAGTGCGAATTTCACACTTGTACTGTTTCATAATTCTGAAAGTAATTTTGAAATGTGGACACTACCCAGAAGCAAATTTCCATAAAGGTAGGCTGAATGATGCGCTAAGTTCATCAGCCAGTTGAGCAAGTTTGATGAGCTCTTTGCTCGCTAAACAAGAATTTTGAAGGAAAAAAAATGTACGCCTACTGTGTGCTACAAAAGTAGGTTTCAGAAACTCAACCTGAGAAAAGCTGTACTTCAGGACTGAACAAAGCCACTAAAAACTGTACATAAATGTGTGGATCTGAGTTACACATTGCGCAGCAAATAGTTGGCTGACTGGACTGTTAGGTTCCTCTCCGATGACATCACTTTTACCATAGTTGACCATCACACTATCTCTGTGACTTATCAAGAAGGAGTAACACGGAGAGAGTTGATTTATAAAGCCAGATAAAAAAGTAAAGTATTCATGGTCATCTCTAAATGCGACTGATTTGGGATCCAAAAGTTTGCATTTCTCCACCAATCCAAAAATTCTGTTCACGTGAGCCTGAAAAAGATCATATTTAAGACAAAGCCTACATCCGGATTTAATTGATCCCTGTCTCGTACTGAATTTGCAAGGAGATAATTGACCAACTAACGCCACATTAGAGGAAAATGTAACATACCACGCCAAGGCCACTCGTGTTCATTGACCTTAATTTTGAAATGAGCAGTTAATACAAATTATCAAAGTCCGTTATCAACAGGAATGGGATTGGCAGTCTTGAACATCTTTTATTTTTCTGAGTAATCATTACATATGACAGCCATAAATAACCAAGAAAATCAATCTTAACATTATAACTGCCTTTCCATAAGATAGTATGTGTCGTATATATTCGGGAATCGTTCGTAAATTGGTAAACTAGCGGTAAGGAAAAAAAGTGATATGACTATGAACAATAAATTGTGTTCGAAACGTCATCCGGTATACAATACTGTTTCACTGTGTGATACATTAATTAAATAAACTAATATGCAATTACTAACAACCACACTGCCCAAGATTTACACATATAGTAAGGAACGGCTAAAGATAGACGGGATAGATTCAGATTTTCAGATTTATTGGTTGAGGATAGAAGGCTTGCAGCCTATGTTAATCCTTTTCTAGTAGATTTCTGTGGTTGTCCAAACCCTTCTTGAACGAATCAATTGAGATTGCAGACACCACTTCTTCTGGGAGTCGGTTCCAAGAGTTTATGACCCGATGTGAGAACCAGTACTCAACAGCAATATGATTTCTCCTTGGCTTTTGAACTCTCCTGCTATGTCCTCTAAGGTGTTCCGACCTGGTGGGAAGGAAAAGAGAGAATAGGTCAGGTCCGTAGTCATTATTTAAAATTTTAAACATTGTGATTAAATCTCCTCTCTGCCTACGGTATGACAGTGAGAAGAGATTTAAACTATCTAGTCTTTCCTCATATGATAAGTTAGCTATGCCGTGAACCATACGTGTTGCCTTCCTTTGAACACTTTCTAGAATGTGTGAATCCCCTTTTAGACACGAACTGGCGGCCTGGATGCAGTTTTCCAGTGTTGACCTAACCAGAGATGTGTATAAGGAGGTGAAAAAATCTCAAGGATAACATGGATACTTTGCATACCAAAAGAATAAATTCGCGCTTATCCATATGACGCAAGTTGACAACAAACGAATTTAAAATTAAGTGCGACACTAATAATGAGGGTGATCAGTGGAGAGCCATAGCACCCATATATTAAGCCTAACTGCACGATTACAAAGCCAGTTCATGTACGCACGTTATACGCTTACAGAAAATAATTTTACATATCCTTGTGGAATATTTGCCATCGTATTACTTAAGATTGTTTTTATTCGTCACATGTGGATTTTTACGTGGTTAGGCACTTTTCGTTCGTTTTCTCGTTTTTCGAAATTAGATTTCGTTAGCAATACACCTATTCAAGTTTTCACCTGTACTTCTTAGTACAGCATTGTTTACCTTTGCCCCTCTACAACGTTAGAACATCGTGGAACGTGAAAACGTGAATGGAATACAATATTATGGCTGGAATAATATTTAGTAACCCATAAGCATACAGTGCCGAACATACCTATTGCATTTATGAGTGGTCGATATTAAGCACTGTTTGCTTGCATATGTCAATGTAGTAGAAGATTGAACGATCAATTCTTGGTTGTTTGCTCAAACTCAACTCTGTACTTTGGCGGGAGTCATCGATACTGCAGTCATCCTTCCATCGTTTTCTGTTCCTTTTAAGATGGAGAAAAACTATCAGAAGTAATATTGTGATTTATTGTTATGACATTCATTCTTAGACTTAGTGTACGATAACTTATTGGTTGGCTCTGTATTGGTGCAGGAGTAAACGACTCCTGAGTCACCAATTAGTCTTCTGGTTTTTGGCGCTGGCTATTGCGCATTGTGAGTCGGTGGCGCAGCGGCTAGGACGCTCGCCGACCAAGCACACGGTCCGGGGTTCGATATCCGGCCGACGCACTCCTTTACCTCACTAAGATAGGATTATAAGCCAGAAATAATGCTGATAAAGAGGAAAGGTTGGGCATGAGGCTAGCAACCCCATCTTGTAAAATAAACACTGCTACAGAAACTTCAAGCCACTAGATTGAGGCCCTATGTTCCACTGGGAACGTGAAGGAAAAGTTATTATTTATTTTAAGTTAATTGCGCATAGTTCCTGAAAGTCTTCCGACGACAGTGTGAAGTCCAGGGTAGTTAAACCTGGACATGGACAGTTTCTGATAATTTTCCTGGAACTATTCGTCTGCCTGTCATATTTGGACAAGTGTTATTTGGAACTTTTCTGGATCATTTGATCAAGATCAATAATGCCTGGGTCAACGAGAGGACAAAGCGTTCTCGAAGCAGACAGGACAAAGAGAGGCTATGAGGATACTACGTCAAAGGTCTGGAAAACCATCTATGATATCCCGTAGTAATTTTGAGACCGTGAAAGGTAATGGATCACAGTTAAACGACAATTCAGAGGGACTTGCAGAATTCATGGACAGTTTATTGGTATACAGAAATACTGTTGTGTCACTTCATTGGGTAGACAAATTGAATTCAAGGCCGTCCTTCAGACTTTTGCCAAGAGATTACCTGCTTGCCTACAAAAGAAGTTCATAAATGTCCGTTCACGTCTAGAGGAGTATTACTTAGAGCGAGAGTGGATGACATTATAAGCCTGGTAAAGGACAGTCTCAAGCCAACTGTCGGCCAAATCTCATAAACAGTCAATCTCCAGTTCCTACTACGCTGGACACCAAGTTGTCACTCGAAGTCATTCAGAAACTCTTTGTGTCAAAAATGCGAAAACCACAACACAAGCTGGCGACTAAAGAATTCTTTATTCTTACACCAACAGGTCAACAACAATAAAGTTATTACACACAAGGTCTAGGAAATGTTATAACGGTAAACCATGATAATACTTATGATAGATTTTATCTTCCCTGAACAGCGAACGGTGAGACAATGACTGAACTATCGATGAATCCCGCGAAAAATATGAAGGAGTTGGGTTTGAGCAAACAACCAAGAATTGATCGTTCAATCTTCAACTCCATTGACACTCCCCGCCAAAAAAGGGATCCAACCCTTTTTTCCTTCACGACCAATGCACGTTGACTTGGATGCGATTGCGAGAACCTGGGTCGCACGGACAGAGCTGAAATGGAAAACAAACAGAAAAGCCAACACACCACAAGCATACCTACAGCACAATCTCACACATCAATGACGACCTGCGCCTCCAGATAAGGGCATCCTCTCGACATCTTGCATTACAATCGCCACTTGCTAGAATGACTCTTGCAGAATGCAACGTAAGCACAGCACCACCTCATGATACTCCACGCACATCCTCTTATCTACTCACTACCAATTACCACTGCAATCGCTTGTCACTCATTCTGCCTCAGTTCTAGTAGCGGTGACGCATGCGAGCCTCAGCCGTCTAAACCCCCGCTCCCCGGCGTGTGGGATCACAGCTAATCCCTATCTCCGTATGGATGTCATTCACAGCAATAGCCTCCCCGGCGTATACGACCCATCTGCTGTCTCTAACATCAATCAATTCATTCATGGATGTAGAAGACTCGAAATAACTTCAGAAGTAATCACGACGAAATTTTGAAAACCTTTATGTAAAACAACAAGGTACGAAATCAGCTAGAAAACATAAGGAATCCGAAAAACACAATATATATCGCGTTAGTTCAAAGTTTGAGTTAAATTTTTGCGTGGTTCGTTACATGAAATTTATCTTGTTGTAATACTTTCACAAGTACTATACTACTTCCATACCTGTAACCATTAACCCCCACTTGTAATAGTTATGGTTAATCAAAGTAAAAAGCAACGAACCCAATCTCCTATGAAACCGGTGACTAATTTATCGTCTCTGATTGCTACATCAAGCAGCACACCCCCTACAAACGGTTATAGTGGGTCACATAACTCACTTGTATGCCGTAAGCGTCGAGCTGGAACTGAGGATAAAACTGTACTGACAGCTAGTACTAGCACTATTCCCAAAAATTCAGTACCCTCTGGTCATACAGAACTCCTCCCTTCACCTTATGTGCTTATCGAAAAACTCCAGCCATCAAGCTCTTTTTCAGTACTATCTTCAGAAATAGAACTTCTAATGTTGTCTATAGGAGAACTTAAGGCTGAGTTAAGGGAAATAAAAACAATAAGTCAGTAAATGCTGGAAATATTGAAACCAATACCGAGATATCCAAATTACCAGATCAGATCAGCGATATCAAATCACAGGTCTGTGAACTGACACCTCTTACTATCCTCATGAAAACTGTAAATCTTAACAAACTTGACACAGAATCGTATGCCCACGGGATGAAAACGAAACGAAGTCAGCTTTCCCGCTAAACCTGGAGGACAACTGTACAATTCAATAACTATACGGCCTAGTTCAGACAATGAGTGTAATTTATATATATATCAAATATTTAACTGTTGAAACATTAATAACTTGTAGACAATTTAAGATTTGACATTATAACATACTTGATCGTGCCTGTAAAAATGGCATGCATTTTCATGTAAATTTATGTTTATATGAAAATAAAATAATAATTATTATTATAATCGGTAACTAAGGTAGATAACCTCATTAACTTTGTTACCACAGAAGTAACAAAACAACTCAACGCAAAACTGAGTGCTATCGTCTACAACGTTTCGGACAATGAAGCACTAAAAAAGGTACAGAGCATCTTACTTAGTGAGGCGAAAATGCTTAACTCCAAGACTAAGTGCTATAGGCTGAAGAATAGTCAACATGAAAAGTGTTGTCCTATTCGTTTTCAGTTCGAAACACCGTCAGAGACCAGAAAATTCATCCACTCTTAACACACCCTATCGCAAGGCAGAAACTACAAACATATAAAGGTCGGGGTGGACAAAACAGTCATAGAAAGGCGCGCATACAATTATCTCGCTAAGCCTTATTGTGAAGTAAGTAATAGGACATTGCAAGCAGCCATTATCCCCAACCCTGTGAAAGATACAGTAGACCCCATCGCATCACCCCTCTCAAAACACACAGAATTATCCCATCAGTGTGAAACAACAGCCGGAAGGCCACTAGACTGTAACCAAATAAATAATAAAAC